TCTTGTTTTATAATTTAGTTAGCTCCGCTTTTGACCTTGTATGGTGTATGTCATTGCAGAGGCGGCGCTACCATTAGGCAAAAGTAAGCAGCCACCTAGGGCCCCCGAACCTGGAGGGGCCCCTCACACCAATTGCCTTCATTGCCGCTAATGTCCTCAGAGCAATTTGATTTTCTCTCAATGTGAAAAAAATTAGAGTAGTTCACTCTTAAACAAAAAAAAAAAACAACAACATCAAAATAGTATCTAATTATCAAATGTATTTTAACTGTCAAAGAATTCCCCCCTTTCACATCATATGTAATGAATGTAAACAAAAATGTAATTGTACTAGCAAAAAAATAAAACTATCTTATCTAGTCGGTGACCTCACTAATACGACAAGTGTCCAATCCACCCTAATTCAAATAAAGATGTGCGTGTCTCAAGAACATTGGGGAAAAACTGACAATAAATATTAAAAATATACAAACAAAAATCCAAAACAATGAAATGGTGCAATATAGTGAGAGGCCCAAACTCAAGTTCACCTAGAGCCCCCACATTGTTAACTCGGTCACAGTGTCATTGTTTCTCAATTTTTTTTTGTGTGTCCTTGTCTCCGTCTGCATGGAGGTCTGCAGTATACAGTTCTGACATATGAGATTTTCTGAGCTCACAAAAAGAAAGACAAAGCACAGAAATAAACTGAATGCTGCGTCTGATCTGTTGCTGCGTCTCCTCCTGCACCCGGACTGGAACATGCTACAAAAACACAGACAGGCCCAACTATCTCAATAGAAATTTTGAAATGTTAAGATAAGTATAATTTCTAATCTTTTTGTAATAATTGTATTGACTATATTGTTCCAGTATTGCTGGTTCAATTGAATGTTGAAAAAACAAAGAAATATTCTGCATTTAATGTCCAAACAGGCGACTTATGGATCCTTTTATTGCTGCTTCAATGACTGTTTTTCATTGTTTAAAACTTGAGTAAAACTAATTGTTCAGAGACACGATCACTCAGACATCAAAATGTCCTCATTCATGTTCAATAATGCTCAAATCCACCTTTATTTTATGATTTACTAATAATGTCTATTGACTTGGGTTGCAAAGGTTTGTGACTTTTAAAATATGGGTCCCCAGAAAAAAAACAAAAAACTTTGGGAAACCCTGGTGTATGTTACTAACTGAGCAATAAAAACATATTATGTTGTAGAATATTCCACCTAATAACTCTGAAGTATGTTTTGTCTTCTGTTTTCTTTGGGTCAATTCTACAACATTTTACATTGCTGTGATTCATATTTGTGATTGTTTGTGCCAAAAAGGGTTTTATATTTGGTGTTGGCGCCATCACATGGTGAATAAGAGTCAGTGCATAAATCAGAAAACAGAGTTGAATGATCTCTGCTCCACTCACACGTGTACTAGGGCTCCATCTTGTGGTCAGTTCTTGAAGTGCACGATTATATAAAAATGCAACAACCGTTTTTGTCAGTATAGAGCTTGAGGACTTTTAGAAGTAGATTTGAATTAGATTTAGATTCAGACAAAAATGAAAACAGGACCAATTAGTTTGAGCACACAGTGGATTAAAACACACAGTGGACAGAAGTCTACATTACCCCATTGCAAATTCAGTTGCACTATACAACAAACTTCTATTTAACCAATTTAACTTCTTGGTTTGAAATCATGTCATCACACTGTGTGTGTGTTACCTAGCAACCATGTAGTACATGCAGTACACAGAAATGGTTATTTGACAAATCCAATGAGGTAGCACTTTAAAATAGGATCCAGGAGTTACTAGGTACTTCTGGTGGTAGTTCGTAGTTATTAGGCTGATAAGTACAGTGGTAGTTACTGTGGTACTTACAGCAGTACTTAGGCTGGTAATTAGACTGATACTTACCAGTACTTTGGCTAGTACTTATAATGATATTTACTGGTACTTTGGCTGGTAATTTACTGGTACTGGTAGTTATAGTGATAGTTACTGGTACTTTGGCCGGTAGTTACAGTGATACTTACTTGTACTTTGATTAGTATTTATAACGATACTTACTTGTACTTTGGCTGGTATTTATAGTGATAATTACTGGTACACACAATATCACTAATAGCGGTACTTTGTGGTACTTCTAGCAGTACTTCTAGTGGGACAAGAAGTGATACTTGGACTAATAGTTAGTGGTATTAGTAGTGGTACTACTTGTTACATACAGTACCACTTATAGTGGTACTTAGTGGTACAAGTAGTGACTGGTACTTGTACTGATAACTACCGAAATAGTTAATAGTGATACCAGACTGTATTTAAAATGAGACAGAATGTGTTTCTCCAATCTAATTTAGCAGTGTAAATGTAACTTATACAGTATCTTTAAGATCTTAATATTAAACCGTTGTTGTTTTATCTTGCCTGCCACATTATGAAAGTGTAATTCTGTTTGACTGTGTATCAGAGGCATGTGACCTGGACAGGCTCCAGTCAGTTAGTGCTTGTACGGCTTGTAAATCCACTATAATATCCTTTTCAGTGCACCCTCTGAACAAAACATTTCATATTTATATATAAAATACTGTTTGACAGTCCCCTCTGCTGACCTTTGTTCAGACTCACATGTGTGGATCTGTTAAAATAATCTTCTCATAAAAGTCAGTATCAGTGCTACTACAGCCTAAACAGATAAGAAACTTTATTGTCCCACAGGGGAACGTGTAAGATGCAGTAGGCTTCAGTAAGGCCCACAGCGCTCAGGAAAAGTGTCTAAACTAGGGCTCACAGTGCGATCAGAGGAGCAGCCCTCACCACTACAGGCTCCACTGAACTCTTCAAGCCCAACATTCACAAATACAGGCTTTAAGAATTCACCCAAGCAAAAGTTAGGCTACATCCACACAACATCTACTCCTTTTTTATGGCAGTGGCAATAAAAATCGATTATATTCCCCTAATAAACTTCCTGCATTCCACTCAAGTACTTTCCCTTTTACTCCTTTCATTATGAAGCAGCTCTACTCTGGTGTTCATAACATTTAAGAATTTTCTGGCAGCATCAACGATTATGTTTTTCATCTCAGATTTTGATGAAGTCCACAGCAGCGTTGGGACATTATGACAGATAGTCAAGCAAAACAAACACCACACTCCCGTCACAACGTCCTCACTCCCCGCCATAATTCACAAAACATTTCAAAACAGCAACATTTTTATATTCCTTAACGGTCATTGCTTTGTCTTTGTTTTGCACTAATCACAAGTTCTCTTCTGGTTACTCAAATCCCTCTTCCAGTGACGGAATGTGCATTTCACACCTAGACCTTCAGCAGTGCTCTGTCTGAAACAATCCACTCCTCCATCTTATTATACAGAAATACAGTATTAAGAGCCGAGGAGATTCTGTGTACAGAGACGAAGTGAGGAGCGGTGGGGGGTGGGAGGGCGACCGTAGTTTTGAGGATGAGTGTCGGGATGGGCCCAGAGTTGCGCCCCCGTAGACTATCGGGTGACCGCAGGTGAATGGACCAGCGCAGAGCTCCGGCCTCACGGGGCTATGTGCAACTGCCGCCTTTCTAAAGTCCAAGATTAGTCCTGGTTTAGTCCTGATTTAATCTTGGTTCAGTCACGAATTGCCTACCCGCACTTAAAAAATCTCCACTACACCACTGGTCATTAATAATAGTAATACAAAGTAATAATAGTAAGTAAGTAAGTCTTTATTTATATAGCGCTTCCACAGACATTTTCTGTCCCCAAAGACAGGTAACAGAGCATTATTCATTCAGCACACTGGTGATGGTAAGCTACTATTGTAGCCACAGCTGCCCTGTGGTCCCTCCAACCACCACCATCACTCACACCACTTTCATACTAGGCAATGTGGGTGAAGTGTCTTGCCTAAGGACACACAATGATTAATTGATTGTATTTAACTGACCTTGACTATCAACTGTTCATGGAGACCTGTGTAGCATGTTTTAGGTTGATGCGGGGGAAACCAGACCACCCGGAGGAAACCCATCCAGACACGAGGAGAAACACGCAAACACACAGAAAGGCTCAGGCAACCCGGGGATCGAACCCAGAAGCTTCTTTCTGTGAGACATGAGTGCGAGCCACTCAGCCACCATGCAGCTGCGCCAATCCAATGATTTGGATTGGTGCAGCTGCTACATTTGCAGTTTGCTGTTTTGGTTCACTCTCTGATTGTCCAATCAGTGGGTCTGAATCCGGTGATGTCGTTTGCTGCTGGAAGACCCTGGTGACATCAACTCAAAATCTGATTGGTTGAAGCAACAGTTTCATGGACATTTATTTTGTGTTCGATGGCCTGCAGAACGGATTGTGAAGGCCTCAGGCAAACGTCTTTGACTTTAACTCTGCCTGGCAACAAATGGTGGCTGAAATGTGATTGGTCAAATACTTTAATATGAAAAAACATGTGTGGAAGCAGCACAAGCATCAGAAAAGTTCTGAAAGGATTTAATAATAATATATTTAACATCAGTCTGTGATTCAGATATTTTTTTAGGCCAGCAGAGAAGGTCTTGCAGGCCCTGACAGCCCACCACTACACTCAACACCTCCAACCTTTTTCACAAACTTTCCATCCTCTTGAGTATTAATGAATATTCCTCAGCTGGGACCATTCTGACCAAATTTTTTTCTGAACCATATGGAAGTACTACATGAGTCCTTTTTCTGTTTTCATGTGTTTCATATAATTTCCTATTCCAAGGGAATCCATCTTCTCCTCTTCTCCATCAGTGACCAACTGTGCAATTTAGCCAAATATGCTTCAGAAATCATTGTGTTACTTTGGCTGTAACTCATTTGGAAGAGTGGGCAGACCTCATTCTCTGAAAAGCATTACAACCAAACTAAAGATAAATAAATGACTAGAGCATGAAGTCATAAAGTGGAGCATAGGGCATGTTTGTTGTTTATTCAGGATTGTTAATCTGAGAAGTGTAAAGATACGCCAGCAGATCGGAAGCACAACACCATGAGTAATTATGATGAAGCTACAGCTTTTTTAGGAAACTGGGGACGATTTCAGAAGATTTTGTTCTTTATACTTTCTACAAGTGTCATTCCAAACGGACTTGGGATTTTATCTGTTGTATTTATTGTGGACAGTCCAAAACACCACTGTTCTGTTCCAGAAGTAAACCTGACAGAAGAGTGGCTCCAAGCTATCATCCCAATCAATGTGAGTTGCATCTTTGGAATTGTTTCAGCAGTTTGTGCATTTCTTTTCAAGTTCTAAATTTATATCATGTGATGTTGGAGTAAAGATTCATGAGGTTTAGTCTAAGTGTGTACAATTCAGATGGGCATAGTCCATATCGTCTGTAACTTACTTCTCAACCAGCAAGGTTCACACTCAGGGCTGGACTGGCCGTCTGGAGCAGGGGGAGTTTTCCCGCTGGACTGAGGCACTTTTTGGGGCGGCCTCTGTCAGACCTGTTGCAACACTACACACACAACACAGCACAGTGCTGCTGTAATGCTTCAGTGACTCTGAAGTATTACAGCAGCAAACACATAGCTTTACTACTCTGCTTTCACTGTGGTCCCACGCACATGTGGTCCCACGCACATGTGGTCCCACGCACATGTGGTCCCACGCACATGTGGTCCCACGCACATGTGGTCCCACGCACATGTGGTCCCACGCACATGTGGTCCCACGCACATGTGGTCCTGACCCAGTCCTCTGTCAAATGTATAGTATGATAAACAGTACATAAAATAGCATTTTTGGTTATTGTTTGTTTCAATATTATATTCTTTCTTTCATATATATATATATATATATATATATATATATATATATATATATATATATATATATATATATATATATATATATATATATTTATTTTTTTTTGTCCTGACTGACTCACACATTTTTTCACCCGGTTGCCAAAAAATCACAAACATTTACTCAACATTAAAGCTAGCACTTCTCTACATTTTGGCTATTTCTATTTTCCAAAATTAAATTAAATAGCACTTCAGCCAAAAAAACAAAAAGGCATCTAGAATCATGAAATTTCACACAGAAGATCATGACAAGGCAACATCATCCGCTCAACCACAGACTTTGCTAAACAGAACTCAACATTTTTGTAAGTACTTTTGCTAGTGGCAAAAACTGTTGTTGTGTCCCTTGGCAAGGCACTTCACCCACATTGCCCAGTATTAAAGTGGTGTGTGTGTGTGAGTGATGGTGGTCGGAGGGACCGATGGTGCAGATTGACAGCTTCACTTCTGTCACTCTGCCCCAGGGCAACTGTGGCTTCAGCAGTATCTTACTGCCACCGTGCAGAGTGAATGAAGAATGCTCTGTAAAGTGTCTTTGAGCTTTACATTTGATTTGTACACATATTCGTGGCATGCCCTCAATCAAAAAAATCTATCACATCCACAGCCCGTCTCAGAGCCTCACAAGAGCCTCACAAGGGCTGTGGAGTGAGAGTTTCAAAGAGAATCCAGAGAAATTATCAGGTGATCCCAAAAAAAGTATCTCTTGATGCTGTGAAAGCTTCTTGCATTGAATAAATGATGAGGTCATCAGGGAAGCAGAGAGCGTCATATCTGTGCCTCTGCAGAGTTCTACATGTGAGCAATTTGTGCACATCACCGGCCCGTGAGCAGGGTGAGGCAGATGTGTTGTGCTGTTTTCCTTGTACGATGGGAGGTGGGTCTCTGGAGGCGATCTGATTCCCCTGGACCCTGTATACTTTCATTGTCCCCCCAAATATTACATTATTAAGATAAGTCTGTAATATCAACTCGCACTGATTTTTATTAAATTTTTTTGTAATTGCCTTGTTCAGGGTGCTGATCCAGACCAAAAATCCCTGTTTACAATAAAGTCCTTTCAAACACTGAGTAAACACCAAAGTAAGTTACTATTTTTACAATGTGGAACAACACCCTGATCCAACCAAATGGTTAGGGATTTGATCCCATCTCAAAAGCTTTTTCCTTTTTCCAAACACTTCTCCACCTCGGCTTGTTTGTGTTGGTCATAAGGGCCATAGGTGCAGATTGGCTGTTGAGCTTCCTTCTGTCTGTAGCAACAGTCTTATCATGTTTACATGTTTGTGCGTTGTGCATAGGATGTATAAAGATGTGTAATATACACTCTGTGGTGTTGTGCTGAGGTGGTGAATGGTGTGGAGGAGCGGAGTCGCTGCAGCAGGTACAGGCTGGATGTGGTCATGGATCTGTGGGCTCAGGGCTCTGCTCCTGGAGACGTGAACCTCACCCAGCTGCAGCAGGAGCCCTGTGTGGACGGCTGGAGCTACAGCAAAGACATCTACCAGTCCACTTTAGTCACTGAGGTACCACTAAACACACACTGTTTTATAACCTGATCCTCGAAGGGTTGACCAGGTTTTGTATTCACCCTGTGTGTCTGTGTGTGTCTGTGTGGGTCTGTGTTTGTGTGTGTGTCTGTCCACCCGCAATAATTCTGCCATTTATGGACAGATTGTCACCAAATTTGGTACGTGGGTCAAGCCCCCGTGCTACAAAAAAGTTTGGTGACGATCCAAGGTCATTTGAGGTCACACGGGTCAATTGAAAGGTCACGCCATTATAAAGGATCGACAATTTCTACAATTTCTGAACCATCTGCGGCCTAAAATATTCACCCAATCATCACACAAGTTGGCACACACATAACTGTTGTACACTGGATGTTGCAGGTTGAACCCGGTCAAAGTCACTTGAAGGTCAAGGTAACCAAGGTCAAATATGCATTTTTAGTCATAACTTCACAAAAGATCGAGCTCAAGCAACAGGAGTGTCTCAAAATCTCAGAAAAATTATTATCTATTTATAATTCTATGCATTTGTATTGTCAAATATGAATAGTTTTTGAGATAATCACTAATTATAACAGTTCCTTTCTCTTTCAGTGTAGCCGTTAAAATTCTAACTGGAATGAAAGTTCCAATTTCCATTTCTTGTTTTTCTGGTGATACACAACACACTGATCTACAGTCACACAACTAACATATACACAACCCATGAAAAATGACATTTTGGTTCCACACTAGTAAACACAGACAATATCACACACATGTTCATGGGCCTGTACAGATACACACATTACATTGTGGATATAAAGATCATGTAATATGGGCTGGGCTCCTCATGAACTGTTTCTGTGGTGATGAACTGACCCTCCGATGCCTCATGGGGACCAGGTTGCTGTTTCTGATTGCACTTGTTTCACTCTGTGGCCCGTCGGTCAAATGTAACAATTTTTCTCTCCTTTTTACTGTTTTAGTCCTGGTTTAGTCCTAGGCTAATTCTGGTTGAATCCTGTTCGCCTCACTGGTTCTAGTTGGTTTGGCAATTTGGCAAAGCAATATTGGTAAAGTTTGAATTTTTCACAAAAATCGTAGTGTGGCAAGAGTGGCTTTGAGGATCTAAGCTGAAGGAACTCTTACCTGCAGTTCTGTGGCCGAGCTGGCAGACTAGTTTAGCACTGCCTTCTCTGTTCTCTTCTCTTTTGCCCACATGCATTTCCGGGTCCCTGTGTAAGCTGCTCCTTCCTCCATGACCTATAGCCCTTATTCATGAAACTATCCAAATTTCTAAATCATTGATCCTTTGAGTGCCTCTGTCTGACTGTGAGCCCAGCGTCGCTTCACTCTCGCAACAAGCTGAGCTTCACGGCACATTCTCGTGTGCTCTAGTCCTTGGCGACAGGTAAGGAATGCCTACTGCTCCTGTTCGTTCACACAAATGTCCAAATTGTCACATGGTCCATGTTTTTCATAGTTCCTCTGCTTGGCTGTATCATTGTGCATTGAGCCACGTGCGGCTCACCGTGCGCCTTCGTCTGCAGTGACAGGTAATGAATGCCCAGTACTCCTTCATTCATTCATCCATGCCCAAATTCTTATGAGTTCCTTTTCTTAGTTCCGTGGGTGGACCAAATCAGTCCCTCGCTCTATAAGCTCTATTCACGCTTCTGTCACAAACCAGGAAGATGTTTAGAAAGATGCAATTACAACTTCCCAGGCTCCTTTTTTTTTCATCTCCATGTCATTGTAGTGTTCCGTTCTGTTCGGCTCAACAATTCCAACCGCACCTCAGTTTTAATCATTTCCCCACTGACACAAATCTGAGTGCACTGGGTACATGTGATTAGAAGAGACGAGGCGCCAAATTCCAGATGACTCCAAACAGCAAATATGTCTGCAGTCGTCATTTTACCTCTGATCACATTTACATCAGAGGGTTTTATTTCTGTTGGTTTTAATAGATCCATGTTAGACGAGCCCATTGTCAAAAACTACACTGGAAGTTGTAATGGCATCTTTCTAAACGTCGTCCTGGTTTGTGATGTAAGAGTGAATAGAGTCTATTGAGCTTTACTGTGTGCTGCTGTGTACCTAAACCATGAAACAGGTAACCAAAGCCCTACCTCAAAATAATACATTGTGTAAATGAACCTAAATCACTGTCTGCTTATAGCTGCTGCATGACTGGCAGCTCACAAAGGTGCCGTGTGCCGGTCCGTGCTGTTGGGCCCACATCTGTAGCAGCAGTAATCTACATAATGATCCAGTCTGGGATTTTGCACTATCGTCTCCAGCCGTGGTGTCAGCAGTGGTCAGGAGTGGCACAGGGCACGGCACCTCTGCTGTTTTGCTATATATATATATATATATATATATATATATATATATATATATATATATATATATATATATATATATATATATTTTTTTTTTTTTTTTTTTTTTGCCTAGTTTTAATGTTGTAGTTATTTTAATTAAATTAAAATGTGTTTCTTTTAAATTTTAAACCTTTCTCTCTCTTCCTTTGATATACTTACCTGCAGTGTTGGGGAGTAACAGATTACATGTACTGACATTACGTAATCAGAGTACAAATTATGAGTAACTGTATTCAGTTACAGTTACTGTTTCAGTGAGTGGTAATTGGATTACAGTTACTTTGTTGAAATAAATGGATTACATGGTGGTATTTTCCTGTTTTCACATTTTGGGCTAAACCAGGATTAAAACCAGGACTAAACCAGGACTAAAATCAGGACTAAAACCAGGACTAAACCAGGACTAAAACCGGATTAAAACAGGACTAAACCAGGATTTAACAGGACTAAACCATGCTGCATGGACCGTGTTTCCTCGTCTTCTATCAATAATATTTTTTATATGGTTCAGTAAAATCTGGGCTTTTTATTTTCTTTTATCAGACAAAACATCTTATGTTATGATTTCCTCGTTTTTGCTTCTCTACAGTAAATCAAGTAATCAAAAGTATTCAGATTACATTACTTACTTTAAGTAATTTAATGGATTACGTTACTACATTGTAACGGGTATGTAATCTGTAATCTGTAGGGGAATACATTTTAAAAGGAACCTTCCCAACACTGCATATATACCCAAAAATAGCAATAATTTCAAATATTTGTGCAGAGAAACACAAATCTATTACAGAAACCTTTTTTAATTGATGAACTCTTTATTTTACAAAATATTATTAATATTATGAACAACCTGAAACTTTAAGAAAAATCCAATTTCAACACAATGTTTTAACATGAACTTGTATGCAAATAGGAATACATCCATTTTCCTTGGAAAATCCTGCACTCGGCTCCACTTTTCTCATTTCCACAGTCAAAACGATCGTCCTTTAAGAGCATTTGGAAAAAGACAAGTCTTCATTTGTGCTGCTCTGGTGGGAGGGGCCACGTACAGAGACGCTGCTATGATAAACACCACAGAAAATTACCAATATTTTAATAGAAATTATCATTAAAATATTTTAGTTGAGGGCGAGATAAAGGTCTTTGAGGGCCGGATCCGTATGTTTGACACCCCTGATATACAGGCTCAGGAAACTTTTAAAGATGTTTTGAACTAGTTGATTAAGATGTCACGCCATGACTTTCCAGTGCTTTTTCACAGTATTCAAATTTTCTGAGACACAGAAAATCAAAAAATTCAAATCGTCAAAATTCAAGAACCACAATGAGTCATGAGTCTATATAATATATGGGTTGGGACAAAAGTGATGATATAATTTTTTTTTTTTTTTTCAGTGGACTAGTACAGTATAATTTCATTCTGTCCTTGGGCAAGACACTTCACAAGAAAGAATGCAAGTCAATGATTGGTGTTGGTCTCTCTAAACCTCCTCCACATACTTGTCTCTAGTTTGACCTGGTGTGCGGCGACCAGTGGAAGCAGCCGTTCACGTCAACCCTTTATTTCATCGGAGTTCTAATTGGATCCTTCATTTCTGGACAGCTCTCCGACAGGTACAGCGTGAATAATACACGATGTAAACAATTTGTATTTAACTGTTGATTTATTGTATTTTAATAGATTTGGGAGGAAGCCTATATTTTTTATTACTTTGGGAATGCAGGCGTTGTTCACTTTTCTTCAAATGTTTTCGTCTTCATGGGAGATGTATGCAGCCCTGATGTTTTTCAGTGGACTGGGGCAGGTCGCTAACTATGTGGCGGCGTTTGTTCTGGGTGAGTACAATCAGCACAAGTTTAGAAACAGGTAATACTTTCTGTTTTGTTTTTGTTTTTCAGGGGTGGAGGTGTTTTCTGGAAACGTGCAGACGGCGTACACCACTGTGGGCGTGTGTCTGGGCTTCGCTACAGGATACATGCTGCTCCCGCTCTGTGCATATTTCATCAGACAGTGGAGATTTCTGGTCCTGGTCGTCTCTTTACCCGGAGCTGTCTTTATCCCCCTCTGGTGGTAGGATGGAATTTTGCAGAATGTTCCTTTAAGTATAGTTTAATAGTGGGGACATTGACTTCATTTCATCTTTTTCATTTTATTTATTTGTTTGAGCCAGGTACAACAAAATAAAAAATAAAAAAAACCCAAAAAAACATATTTCTGACCTGGTGCTCAAAAGGAGTAGGATGAAGTTTAAAAAACTTATAGTGTTCAACCCCGATTGTTTTACATAATCACATGGGTCACACTTTTTTTCTTTTTTTTTTACCTTAACATCTTTGGAGTGCTTACCTGTCATTATGCATAACATAAATATACACACATATATACAAAAACATATACACACATACATACAGTACTTTCCACACTATTAGGTGCACTCAAAAGCCTCCAACCCCACCAAAAAACGGACTGCGCGCCCACAATCCAGAACGCCCTATACACAAATCCACTCGGGTGTCCCAGGACGACTTCAATAAACTACAAAGTCGCACCACCCGCAGCACACGCAAACACACACGGAGCAGACAGCGACCGCACAGCGACAACACCCGCAGACACACTCATCACTCCACGCCGACGAGGAACGGAACGGAGGAACGAACCGAAAAAGCGAGTGCAATGTGCCACTTCTAGACACGACTGAACAACTGCGTCACTACGAACACGCTGACAATCCAGCGGTCCCAGACAGCACCCTCCCTACACGCCACAACTGAACAAAGCCCAGAAACGCCACAAACAAAGTCCAACTGACCCATCCAACGGTTGTGTTTCCTTTAAAGTCCGGTGCGGTTTATTTGTGAAAAAAGTTTGAAAATAGACCATTTAATGACAGTGCACCTTATAATCCAGAGCGCCTAATAGTGCAGAAAATAAGGTACATAAATACATACATATATACCTACATACATACATACATACATGCACGCATCAAAGATATCCAGTACATATATTCAGTATAAATGTTTATACACATATGCATAACACACATACACATACACGCACAAATATATTTTCATTTATGGTCATACTAACTAATAATAATGTTAACATAGGCACAAAGTTTATCATTTATGACCTACAAAATAAACAGTAATGAGAATGAAAAATTTAAGGATTTTTTTGTTTTCATTTATGGTCGTACAAACTAATAATTGTAATGAAGAAAGCACAAAGGTTTATCGTTTATGATTGTAAAAAATAAACAGACTTGACAACAATATTATAAAGGTAGAGTAAATTTCAAACTTCATCAACACGATCTGTTTCCCCAGATACCAGGTACACATGTTCAAATGAAATACAACTATGAAACACTGACTATTGTAATGTTGATCTGTCTAAAACACTAGAAATGACGACCAAATTTGTTTATATTATGTTTATATTTTGTTAGAGAGCACAATGAGCCTCAGACAAGTCTTTCATTTTCTGCACTGAAATCCAGTTTGTTTAAATCAAAAACGACTCTACTTTTTAAACCAACAGTTAAGTCATAATTAATTTATTGGCTGAACCAACTACAGGCACCAATTTTAGTTGCTCCTCACAAAAAAATCTGACTTAACTCCTGGCAGGGTTCTCCAGTGTCACTGAGGGATGGATCAAATTTAAGAGCATGTGTCTATAAATGGAAAATAAAATCTAAATCTCAGTTTTCATTTCAAGTTCATTTTTGACTATGTAATGTCAAGTTTGATAGACCAAGCAGTATCCATCCAGCTATCATAACCCCTTTGCCTGTCATGACATCTACCCTTCAGATAGATCTCTAATAATCTGGCCAGAACAGAACCATCTTCACTCTCAAACTTTTGTCCAGTTGACAAAATTGAATTTTTCATTTGCATCTACCTGAATAATACAGGATGTTGTGATATTGTCTAAAACTGAACAAATATAAATGGTGGCAAAACGTTACAGAACTCATTATTTTAACTTTTTTAAATTTAACCTTTTTTATTTGTGTATCCAGGATCACACCAGAGTCTCCTCGCTGGCTGCTCTCTCAGGGCAGGGTGGAGGAGGCAGAGGACATCGTGAAGAAAGCTGCTGTCATGAACAAAGTCAATGCTCCATCAGTCATATTTGAAAAATATATGGTAAGTTAACTCAGTGTAACAAAATATTAATTGGACGCAGACAACGGAAAAAAGAAGTGTTTTTTATTGAAGTTTGGCTGAGGTGGGGGTTGATCAGAAGACCATTGGGTGGTGAGTGGAATGTGGAGTGTATTCTCATGGAGGCAGGAACCTTGAGATTCACAACAGTAGGATTGAGGATCTTTTCAGTTTCAAAAGGACCAATACAACAAGCAGCTGGTTCCTTAGAGTCAACTTTTAAAGGAACAGTCTTTACTGAAAAGCCAAACTTTCTTACCTGACCAACAGGCAGGTGTAGGGCCCCAGTGTTGAGCAGCAATCTGTTGGTTGCATTCAGCAGTGTGAAGAAAGGCGACATTCCTAGACACATTCTGCAATCTGGCAACAGCAGTGCAGGTGGTTCTTGACAAAAGGCACTGCAATATCTCTCACCTGTTCAGGAAACATAGGAAGAAGATTCAAAGAGAGACATACTGATAGCAGCAGAGAAGAGAGCTGTAGGAGATGAAATCCAGAAGAAATGCTTGCACCCAATGCTTGAAAGAGACTCCTACTGACTTGTGAGCTCCTCCACAGAAGCTTACGAAGAGCCACAAAGTGTACAGGTTTGGAAGAACCATCCGCAATGTGAGTTAATAGAGTTAAATTTGGAAGAAGACAGACCCGAAACAAAATCACGAGTGATCGATGTGAGACCATGGCTGGTGGCTTTCCCCCTAGCAGAGATTGTGCAGGCTAAAACATAGCCTCTAGTGTCTCTGTATGTAGTTGGCTGCACTTTGAGTACGGAAAGACTGATGAACAAAGAGACAGGGAGCAGGTCTATTACCTGGATTGGGGTCTGTTCTCTGGACTTCTCTGACTATGCTCTCATACTCCCAAGTTATCAACGCCACAATACAAAATGGCGGGAGGATAGTCTCAAAGGAGTCAGGTGAGTATAAGGACCAAACTTGGCGGGACAAAGCATTAGGTTTATCATTTCTCAAAGCTGGACTGTAAGTGAGAGTGACGTTAAACGCCTTGCGAGCCAACCTGAAGTTGAGCAGTTTAGCTGACTGAACATCTGACACATATTTGTGGTCAAACAAACAACAAACAACACAAAGAGGTTCAGTGCCTTCTCAATAATACCTCCATTCTTTTAATGCCAATTTCACAACTTAAAGATCCTTGTCCCCAATGGAGTAATTGCATTTGACTGGAGACAGGTGATGTGAAAAAAAGATACACGGGTGTAACTTTTGCTGTAACTTCAAGGAGGTCGGTAATGTTGTATGGTCTGTGTGGTGGGAGAAACAAAACCTCTTTGATAAAAAAAAAAAAACAAACCTCTGCCAGGGTATGGTATTCTTTAGAAACTTTGGAGCGGTCTGGCGTAGTGGCAGACTGTAGCATGGGTTCCACTTGAGGAGACTGACCTGAGGTGTGAGTAGAAGACAAAGGAAACACATGTTGGGTGGGTTTCTCCCTTCTCACAAAGACGACTCTCGATTATGATGACTGAAAATAAGGGAGTCAAGATGATCACATTATCATATCTTTGAGAGCAAGTTCCTTGAGTTGTTCAGACAATCCATTGACAAAGACACTTTGAAGCTGACCTTAGGGCTAAGAAGGACAGAAGGACAATGATCAAACTGTAGAATCTTCTAAATTTGAAGAAAGTTTTGGTGCTGTTTAGCTTGAGAAATTTGGAGGAGAACCAGGAGTTACTGTTGACAGAGAGTAAAGGTGTTGTAGTTGGAAGGTCTATGGTGCGTTCAGACCGTGGCATCAGGACATGCAGAGTATATGGGGGATCTGTGTCTAGGCTCGTCCAACATTTCTGTCATTGCTTTTTAAGTATTCATACGTCGTGTCAAGCGTTCACAGGCGTCAGATGTAAAAAATTAGAACTTTTGGCAAAATCTGCTGTGCATCAAATGTCTAACACCATTTTTTCTTGAGAGATGCAAATGGTTTTATAATGTGATATTTTGTGATTTTACAGTTTTGTGTTGATTATGTTGCTGCTACTTTGGCCAGGTCTGTCTTGAAAAAGAGTTTCTGAATCTCAGTGGGACCTCCTGGTTAAATAAGTAAATAAATAAAAAGCGTGGAACCTGTTTGAAACGATCATTGTGGTTGTATCAAAATAGAGTTTGGACATTTGCGAAACAGCCTGTAGCAATGTCTTTTGTTTTTTTTTTTCAGGCTGAAGAAAATACAGCCAACAAGAGTCACAAACGGTTTACAGTAATTGATCTTTACTTAAATCAGGAAATGAGAGGTCCATCACTAATCCTGGCTCTGATCTGGTGAGTAAGTCTAAATCTCGAATAGGAGCCGAAATTGTCCTTCCAGCCTGTGAACATCTCTGGGGGTCCTATGCGAACATGCCAATTTCAATATAAAGGGGCCATATTTCTTTACTGTCAAGCGAATTTAAATAGTTTCTTTGTCCAGGTTTACTGTGGCGATGGGTTATTATGGTCTGTCATTAAACACGTCCAAACTCAGCACGGACCCATTTCTTGCTTGTTTCATCTCAGCTGCGGTGGAGGTCCCGGCCTACATCGCCTGCTGGTTTGCCATAAAGTTCTGGCCCCGGAGACCCACTGTTATCTCCTTTATGATACTGGGAGGAGTGGCTCTTTTGACTATTCAGGCAGTCCCTCCATGTAAGTACTACCGACAATCCTGTGTAAAAAATGGCTGTTGGGTGGTTGGTTTCAGGTCGTCAAATCTAGCCAATTGATCAAAAGGCTGGACAAATGATTACTCCCTTTTCTCCCTAGCTCTATCAGCAGTGTCATTTGCTCTTGAGATGTTCGGCAAATTTTGCTTTACCATAACTGCAGCTATGGCTTATCCATGTACTGCAGAAATGTACCCAACGTTCATCAGGAACACAGCAACGGGAACCTGTTCCACCATCTCCAGAGTCGGGACCAGCATTGCACCTTTTATCTTTGAACTGAGTGAGTCAAACATACTTGACAATATGCAAACAGACATTATTATCACATAATTAAGTAATAATAAAAAAAGAGCCTGGACACAATGACCCTCTACATATCTCCAAACAGAGAATGACACTAAATATGTGCACAGGTCTGATCTATCAATCAGTAACAAAGTGATTCTCACATGTTTAGCCATCAGTGAGCTGGACTTAACCAGGACTGCACCACAACTGAACCAGACTTAACCAGGACGGTGAGCAGACCTGAGCTGCAGACGGCACAGTCAGTCACAGGATTTGAGAAATTTGATTTGAGAAAATAAGTTCAGTTTCAAAGGGGGAAATCACTTTACAATCCTAACATCTCATTTGAATGTAGACATGTGCAAATTATTCAAGCACTACTGAATAATTTTCTTATTATTTGGATTTTTTTTATTATTATTATTTTTTTTATAATTTTATCCTGGGCGCATTGAAACATCCTAAAAGGAAAACAGCAAAACACTGGGTGAACATATTTAAGCCAAAATGTTCAAATAAAGAACTATTTAGGAGCCAAAACCCTTCATATATTGTTCATTATTGTTAATCTTGATTAAAGCTGCATTAAAATAAACATAAAGTAGCTGTAAAAGACCAAGGTGATAGACCTTTATCTTATAAGTGGAAGGTTGAACCAGTGCATACTGTTGTGTTGTTGGACACTTCACCCACCTCGCCTGTGTGCTGTATGAAGCTGGAAGATGTTCATCAGAGTTAGACGTGGGTGAAGACTCCGCAATACATCTGTTACCATGGAGCTCCATGAAAAGGTTTACTAAGTTGATTATTTCTTTATACACCTGAATAACAAAATGCATTGGAATTTCATGCCCACATACTTTTACACCATAAACTGATGGACAAATAATGCAGATAGACAAATGGGCAAATAACACTTGCTCGCAGTGGGCTTTTTCATGCAAAAACTAATAATGTGGTTCATTTGGTCAGGACAGTGCATGTTAATGAGTACACATGATGAACGTGCTGAAAACATGGGCACTACAGTCATGGACTAAAGTCCATTCATCCCACAGCTGCCCTTGAAAACATTCTCAGCTCTGGAGGCAAGGTGGATGAAGTGTCTGGCCCAAAGACACAACGCAGGTCTAAGTGTGGTTTAAACCGCTGACTTTTTGGTTGGTAGACGAGCCACTGCTCTCTGAAAAACTGTTTGGTACAAATCCTTCAAACAATAATTATGTGTGTCTTTCAGGTGTCCATTTTAAATACCTCCCTTATTTATTTCTGGGGTCAGTGTCAGTGACTTCGGCGATCTCTGTATTGTTCCTTCCAGAGACGTTTGGACATCCTCTCCCAGAGACAATTGATGATATGCACAAGTTTAAAAGGTGAGCTGTAGAGTGTTCTCCCATCTTTTATACTATTTATTTGGTATATCACAAAGTATTATGACATTTTTGGCCAGGTTTTTCAGAAAGAGGAGAGCAGCCGATCAGCTCTCTCCCTTTGTTTCTCTCTTTTGTACAAGTTTATTACAGATAAATTTCCATCCAGGAAATATATATTGAAGCACGTAACTTTTTACATGTGTGTTTTCTTGGCGTCTTCTTCATTAATCCATTAAACTATCTCTATGGTCAAATTGCTGGTCTGATCTGAATCAGAATGTTTTTTCAAGTTGTTTTTGTGCAGTAAAAACACCTTTCTGTGGGTCAGTGACGTCTCTCATACTGTCAAATGGAGTCAATATGATTAACTGAGATTCACGAGCAGGACGACACCTCAAATCACCCAGAAGCCCTATTTATACAAGCCTCTCCCGACAACACCATCTGGCCCATGTCTCTTGTTCATCTTCCAGCCTGTAGCTCCATCTACAGAGGGGGGCCTGAATTGACTGGACTGACCACCCAGAGCCCCCATCTCCCTCAGTCTCCACACAGCCACATCTGCACATATTTATACATATATATACAATTGTTGTGTTGTGGTCTTTGGTAGTGAACCACCTTTTAATTCATACAATTATGATTATAGAATTATTATTATTATTATTATTATTATTATTATTATGCATGTTCACTAGACTCACTACAGTTTAAGTTGTTCCTGTTACAATCCAGCTGATCACCAACCACCCGCAGATCGTCTACTGGACCCTCAAAGCATATACTGCCATTGTGCCTCTTGACAATACACTCCATTCACCTGACAATCTGTGACAGTTTTTTTTTTTTTTCTCTTTCTCTTTAATTTCCTACAGGTTGAGCTGTTCTTGTGCCAGTCAGAAGACTTTATCAAATCCTGTAGATGTTTTGGAAACTAAACTGTGATAAGTATCAGCAGTAACTGTGGTCTGTATCATACGATTATGTTAAGGGACATTTTTTCCCAGTCCAGTGTTATAAATCTCCTTCACAGCCAAGTGTGTGTGTATTTAAATATAAAATAAAATAAAATGCATACTTGTATTGTTTTAACAATTTAATAAAACTAAAGAATTGTTTCTCCAAGTGTCTTGTTATAAGCTTCACACCTTTGTTATTTGGACTATGCACCACTCGGGACCCTGTGTGAACATGACATTTTCCCTGTGAAGGGGCCTTATTTCTTTAGTTCAAAGTGAGTGAGTTTAGTGTGGCGATGGGTTATTATGGTCTGTCAGTGCTCACATCCAAACTCAGCGTGGGCCCCTCTCTCTGTGTTTCATGTCAGCTGCGGTGGAGGTCCCGGCCTACATCACCTGCTGGTTTGCAAAAAAGTTCTGACCCTGGAGACCCAACAGTATCTCCTTTACGTTAGTGGGAGGAGTGCAATTCAGGCAATCCCTCCAAGTAAACTAAGTACTGACAATACAGTGTAAAAATCACTTATTGGAAAAAAATAAAATAAGTAAAAATACGTGTTTATAACATATTATAATCAGTGTTGGGAAGATTACTTTTAAAATGTATTCCCCTACAGATTACACATTACATACCCCAAAATGTAGTTTGTAACATAATCCATTAAATTACTGAGTAACGTAATCTGAATACTTTGGATTACTTGATATTGTCATGCTTTTTAAAACTACATGAATGTAGTGAGTACATCCTGAAAATTCATGTTTGTTCTCTTCACGTTGTCTGTTGAGCCCAAGTCTCCATGAACAGACAACTGTTTGCTGTAGAGAAGCAAAGACGAGGATCTTAACATGATGTTAAAAGAAATAAAAAGTCAGTTTTTCCTTAAGCATATTAATATTATTGATAGAGAAATGTTTTCTATATGAGGTCACTGCTGCCTTAAATTATGTCCACCCTACTGTTAGGTGTCATATTGTTTAGACCAGGTTTTACTCCTAGTTTAGTCCTCTCTAGTCCTGCTTTTAGACCTGGTTTAGTCCTGGTTTAGTAATGGTTTAGACCTGGTTTAGTCCTGGTTTAGTCCTAGTTTATTCCTAATTTATTCCTGGTTTTAGTCCTTCTTTTAGATGTGGTTTATTCCTGGTTTAGACTTGGTTTAGCCCTGGTTTTGGTCCTGGATTTAGTCCTGGTTTAGTTTAGTCCTGGTTTAGTCCTGGTTAGCCCAAAATGTGAAAACAGAAAAATACCGCCACGTAATCCATTTATTTCAACAAAGTAACTGTAATCCAATTACCACTCACTGAAACAGTAACTGTAACTGAATACAGTTACTCATAATTTGTACTCTGATTATGTAACTCCCGTACATGTAATCTGTTACTCCCCAACTCTGATTATAATAAGGTTAAACAAACCAATTACACCAGATTTATTTTCCACAAATGAGTTTCTTTAATTGCAGCTTTGTTATTAAATCTTTATTTCAAAATAAAATATGTGCAAACATAGAAAAAGCACTCTCAGAAACATCTGTTACTTTTATTCCTGTTAGCAAACTGCCAAAAATGTTGATATGATCAGGTCATTGTATGAAAGTAGTAAGTTTGTTGTGTGCCTTTCTTAAAAAATGCAGAAAGTTGGAAGCGCACCGAGTGGTCGAGTGTCCTGGAGGGTTTGTGGGTTTGGAGCAGGTCTGAGAGGTACTGAGGGGCCTGGGCGTGGATGGACTTTTACACGAGGAGAAGAACCTTGTAATGGATCCGACAAGCAGGCCATATTGCTTTTATTGTATTGCCATATATTTTAGACCAGTGTATATCGTTCTGTTCTTGGGAAGACACTTCACTCACACTGCCTAAGTACAGTAAGATGTTGGAGGGACAGCCACGTTTGTTTGGAGCAGCCACAGGTTTACCAGTAGAGGGCAGTGTCGCACTAATCCAAGCATCCAAAGTGCAGTCATGGGCTCATTTCCATCCATCTCCCTGAAATACCCTCATTCATACACCATTGTACTTACAGAAGAATATTATACTTTTTTGAATACCTATTGAGCTATATCATTTGTAATATAGCGTATAAGGAAAGGCAAGTTTATTTGTATAGCACAATTCGTACACAAAGTAATTCAAAGTGCTTTACAGAATAAGAAATACATTAAAATCACAATAAAAACAAATCAAAACATAAATAATCATCATAAAATTAAAGATTAAAATTAAAAGAGGGAGAGAGAGACATTAATTACATAAATTAGAGAGAAGAGCATGGAATGAAAATCTTTCAGTTATTTGCACAGTTAAACAGAAATGTTTTGAGTCTGGATTTAAACAGCGTCACAGAAGAGTCTGTCTCACATGTTCAGACTGTTCCAGGTTTTAGCTGCATGAACCTGAAACTCTGACTCCCCTTGTTTAGTCGTGACTCTGGGCACCAGCAGGAGGCCGGTCCCTGAGCTCCTCAGAGTGTGAGATGGTTCATATGACACTAACATGTCACAGATGGACTTTGGTGCTCGGCCATGAAGAGACTTGTACAAGCAGAGCAGCTTTAAAGTCTCTGAGCCACAGGAGCCAGTGCAGAGACCTGAGCACAGGACTCATGTGCTCGTACTTCCTAGTTCCAGACAGGACCTGAACTGCAGCGTTCTGGATGTTCTGGATGTTCTGGATGTTCTGCAGCGTCTCACAGCTCGTTTGGAGAGACCAGTGAGCAGAACATTACAGTATCTAACCTCCTGGAGACAAATGCATGGATAAGTTTCTCCAAGTCTGCTTTAGACAGTAAACCTTTGATTTTTGCTATGTTTTTTAGATGGTAAAAGGCTGCAGATGTTATTGATTTGATGTTCCTGTTAAAGTTCAAGTCTGAGTCCATTATTACCCCGAGATTTCTTCCCTGATTTGAAGGTTTTAGAGAGAGAGACTGGAGGTGATGCTGACACTGTCTCTTTGTTTCTGTGGACCAAACACTATGACTTCTGTCTTGTCTGAGTTTAGCTGGAGAAAGTTGTTTTGCATCCACACACTGATCTGTTGGATGCAGTGGCAGAGTGAGTCCACTGTTCCATAGAGTCCTGCTCCCAGTGAGTATTAGTGAGTATAAGTATTCATTTGGTCTTGAAGAAAACGTAGCTCATCATATATTGTACTCATTTAGTTCATTGTACACCGTAATACTGAGCCAAAACAACTATAGGAAATACAAAAGCGTGACTTCAGGGGCAAGTCTCGACCCTTTGCAGTGCCCCTAAAACATTTCAGCACCTTTAAAAGTAAGGTTTTTGTTATTTTATTGAGCTGAGTTTTCTTAGTCTAAGCAGATGTCAGACTTCAGTATCTGCGCTGAAATAATCCCTATCTTGCAGCGGTTTAACATTTAAATGAGTTTATATGAGATTACTCTCCTCTTTCTGTTTCTCTCTATGGAAGATAATTAAATTCATCAGATTTTGAATTTTAAATGCCATTGAATTTCTACTTTGATTTTTTTTTTTACTCTGAAAAACAAAACAAACAAAAAAACAACAAAAAAAACATGTTTGAATTATTTTTATTCAGAATTTTAGTGGCTGAAATTTTAAGTGTACATTTTGAAAGTGTTTCAAATTCAGTATTTAAAAAAAATAAATAAATCTTTTAAATATTCAGCACAAATATTTTCAAGCAACCAAAGTCAACAGTCAAAAAAAAAAAAATAATAATAATAATAATCGCAGCAAAGATCCAAGATGCCAAGGCAGAAATAATCGATCCAAAGTGATCCGATCTGACTTAGTAACAACAAGCAGGAAATGGTGCAGTGAAGAGATCTAATTGGTCAGAATTAGCCTTATCAAAACCTCATCTATTTTATTTCTTAAATGTAAGCCCCGCCCACAGAAGAGAACGACCAATAGGAAACAGCCTCTTCCCCCCTCACTCACACAGGATCGATTGCTTCTGCCTTGGCTTTTTGGCTCTTCGTTGAGAAACTTTTCACTGCGAATTTTTCACTCCGAATTTTGACTGTTGAATTTGAGGGCTTGAAAATATATGTGCTGAATATTTAAAAGGTGAGATTTTTTATTTTTATTTTGAATACTGAAAATGTACACATATAATTTCAGCAATTAAAATTCTGAATAAAAATAATTCAAACATCTTTTTTCAGAATAAAACTATCAAAAGTGAGAAATTCAGCTGTATTTAAAATTTAAAATCTACAGGAACAAACGATGGATCTTCCCCATCTCCGCGGACACGTCTCTGGTCTCTCCTCTGTTTGTGAAGCAGGCACGAGCGCTCTCTGTCAGCCAATAGCGCTGCGTATCTCTGCTCTAAGACCCGCCTCCTTCCCTCTGATTGGTCAGAATCACGTTGCGCACACGCACAGCAGAGGAAGCGCTATCTTTTGTAAACAACTTTTGGGCCTGCTCCTATCGACAGAAAACAGACTTTTAATAGTTTGAACCACCCATAAATGATGAAATTGACCTTATGTCATAAAGTGACTACTTTCTGACTACAGCATGGAGTAGACCGAGGAGAAAAACGGGATTCAGAGCCAGATCTACAGGCAATGTAAGTCACTTTGTAAGAATGACTTAGACTTAGACAAACTTTATTGGTCCACAAATTATTTAAACACAGGAGCTCACACTTCAGAGCATAATATAATAACAAAGAGTAAAAAATATAAATGGCAATAATACATTCTAAATAAAAATAAAAATAAAAATAAAAAATTTGCTAGAGACAGGTGTCAAATAAGGCATAATTATATATAAATATAAATAAATGTAAATATATAAGTAAAAATAAAATAGAAAAACAAGCAATAAAATATAAAATCTCAGCTACATACAAGAGGTCACAGGAAGACAGTGCAACAGTGATATGATTATTGACAGGACATAGGGTTATCTGTTACATAAGGGTGTGTTGTTGTACAGTTGTAGGGAGTATTATCTCTCTAAAATCTGGTGCAGTGGGTGAGCAGGAGTGTTCTTGTTCGAGAGCAGATTGTCCAGAATGTCAGTGTTCTGTCATCAACCTCTGTGTTTCATGTATGCATGTGTGTACGCATGTCACAGAAAACAGGATAGAATATATTGAGGACTATTGGCTATATGAAAAAAATTACCAGCTGGTCCCTTACTATCATGTACCAACCCTGTGAAATTTTAGTCATTTTCGATCATTACTTTTTAAATTATAGCTCATTTAGTGAGAATAATCTACAGCTGTTTTCTTGGATGTCAGATAATTTATCACAGATACCTTGTCACATTAAAATTATTATCAAACCATTTTATTCAGTCTTTAAATGTTTAGTGACCTTAGCTGTCGGAATAAAACATAGTACATGGTCACTGTATACTCGTGTCATTGTGTCTTGCACTATGACAAAACCTCAAAAACGCAAATGTTCAAGATACAATTAAAAAATTGAAGGAGCTTCATAAAATACATATAAACATATGTATTTTTTGAAGCTCCATATGAAAGGTCTTTTTCTGGTCTTTCAGGAAAAAAATTATTCCACATTTTTTTATCACTACCCACATGCTATAAATTGCATGTGAAAATCGGATCAGGTTGCGTTTTCTTGTTTTTAACAGGACCCTCACACATAACCTACTTCAAATTTTCAATATTTGGTGATTTTTTTTTTTTTTACAGTCCATATCTTGATTCTCAAAAAAAATGTAAGGGTCTCCAACACCTACAAGTGGGTTTCAAAAGGGGTTAAAAATGGTACACCAAGGAAATGAATGATTTTTTTTTTTTTTTCATATTTAAGTTCATATAAAATGACAATGAGTTGAGATACCAAACTTTTGATAGATGTTATTTGAACACAGAGTAGAGGAGAACAAGCCTACAAAAAGTCAGCCCTCTATGTGTGATACTTATGGAGATATTGACCTGTGAAAACAACCGAGAAAAAATGCATTTTGGGCCTGTAAATGGACACATACTCCCCTCACTAAATGAGCTGTAACTTAAAAAGTATTGATCGAAAATTACTAAAACTTCACAGGGTTGGTACATGATAGTAAGGGACTATTAGGTCATTTTTTCAAATATTTTTGAGATCGAAGTGCGTGGGCCATTTGTTGAAATGGCGTGGAATGACCCAGTTGTAAGTAAAGTGAAATGATGTGATTCTAATATATTTTAATGAGATATTAAACCTATTATACTGTTCAAGAAGCTTCAGAAAAGTGAACATCAGCCATAACTCAAGTTCAAAAGTGGGTCAAGAACTCATGCTTGCAACTCAACATAAAAAAAAAATGTCTGCAGAATGTTCAGTAAAAAAACAACTGAACTTTCTGGACGGGGTGGAACTCAGCCTCGTCAAAGAGTTTAAATACTTGGGACTGACGTTGGACCTGACATTGACATTTAAGAAACACATTAAGCGCCTTACAAAAACTGTTCATTTTAACTTTTTTAACAGAATTTTAGACAAGTAAGACCTTTTATGACTCTATATTCGGCACGGATGTTTTTACACTCCATGATTCTGTCTCATATAGAGTACTGCAGAACCACATGATCACTTGCTGCTGGCACAAAACTCAAACCCATTGAATCACTTTTTAAAAAGCTATAAAAATATTGGACAAGAAACCACTCTCATTTCACCACTGCACTATTTTAGATAAGTACACCCTGCTTAATTTGACCCCCCTCCGTTACAGGATTTTATTAAAGCAAAGACTGTCAGAGGGAACTAGAGTCACGGCCCGGGGGAACTGTGAGCTCCCAGTGTGTCTTAGTCAGAGGCACTAAATTTTGGAACAGTCTCCCACTATCAATAAGAGAAACTCCAATGCTTGCCGCTTTCAAATCCCACTTGAAACAGCGACTAAAGGAAAACCAGACTTGTGGACGCTTTTAGTTTAGAACTGACACTTGTCACTTGTTATTGTTTTTTCTCTGTTAAATTTGTGGTGTTACCTGCCGAGGGACTACAGATGAAATGAGCATTCTTGCTATAATCTGGCATATTTATACTGCAGTGTTGTAGATGTTCATTAATATGCACTGTCCCTGTTAAATAAATAAATTGATAAAAATAAAAATAACCTGTCTACTATGATTGACAGCATAAAAATGACACAACATAGACATGATTGACAACACACGACATGCTGAAACTCTCTGGGACATGATAATAACATGTTCATCCAAGCAAGTTCATCTGTAGAAAAAAAACAACTATAGAAGAGTTTATTTAAGTTTATAGTACCAACAGTAAGGACTAAACATCAAGCCAGATCAAGTTTCTAAATTTCAAGTGTATAGCCTGGGTTACAATCAGACTGAACTTTTGTTGCCAGAGCCATAACCTGCAGATAGAGAACACATGACACAGTTTTTCTCATTTTCAGATTATTAGTTGCACAAATCTGGAATGTGAATTTGATTATACCGCATGATCAGAGGATGTTTAGTGTCAAAATTTCCACCGCGTTACTCACTGAGCCACTGCTGTCTGAAGAATGCACAACTATAATAATGTTTCTCTTTCTTCCAAGTATTTTTATTAATTTTCAGACAATAAAAATTCCATCTGAACAGCTGACCACGTTAACACAGGTCAACATATAACCAAAAAATAATAATAATAATAATAATAAAATAAATAAATAAAATACAATAAAGATAATGATAATAATAATAACAAATAACAAATTCCACACTCTCACACACTCATACACATTCACACATTCACTATGCGATAATGTTTCTCTTTCAGGCGTCTGTTTTAAGTTCCTGCCCTATTTTTTTCTGGGGTCAGTGTCAGTGGCTTCGGCAATCGCTGCATTGTTCCTTCCAGAGACGTTTGGGCATCCAGAGACAACTGATGATAAGCACAAGTTTAAAAGGTGAGCTGTAGATTGTCCTCCCAGTTTGCTATAGTATTCTTATTCACCTGTGCGCAACACTAACTAAAAAAACTAAACTAAAAACAGCACTTACCTGCTACATCTCAATACTTTACGCCTATTTTGTGATGTTATCTAAAAGCCATCAGTGGTACTTTTACTTGAGTACTCCTTCCACCTCTGAACGTACTGTAGAGTCGAGCGTCTGTTGGTGACGCCTCTTCTGTAACAGGATACTCTGCCAAACCTGCTGTTAAACTCCATTCAGACCTGTATCCTGAGGCTTAGTCTTACATTTCAGGTTGAATTCCCAGTGGTGTAGAGAAAAGATGCAGAAGTAGTACTCAAGTAAATGCAGCATGTGAACAATATACTCTGGCAAAGAGGCAAAAAACATCATATTTTGGGTAAAAAACACAAACTTATCATTATAATCTATATGCTCATAATAGTTTAAGTCATTTATATGATTCTATCCATCGCCACAAGATCAGCTTTTATCAACTCAAAGCACAAAGCCAGCTGTTGCCAGGTTTATTTAAATATTTTCTTTTTGATTTTCATTCCAGATTGAGAAGTCTCTGTGCCAGTCAAAAGAACTCCTCAAATACTGCGACTTTTTCAGAAACTAAACTGTGATAAGTGTCAGCGAAGTCAACAGTGGTCTGTAACGTATGATTATTCACATGTTAAGGGGAGAATTTGCACCCAGGCGATACCTAGAAAGAAGAAATGCACACTTATATTGCTTTAAAGAGTTTTTTTTTTTTTTTTTTTTTTTTTTTTTTACTTTTCAGGAATCAATGATTTTAAACTTCAAATTGTAAAATAAAGACCATTGTAAACTAAAGTATCAAATGTTAAAGAACCTTAAGACCTTCTGAACACAAAACCAAATACTATACATACACAACTGTCTTATCAACTATCAGTTTAGGAATTAGCAGGAATTAGGAGTTTGTATGTGTACACAGTAAAAAACAAGAACATTATGAATTTACTTACTCAGTGTAATATTTACCTAAACCTCATTCAAAATGAATAGTCAGCTGTGCGTGTCTTTGTCCTTGTTGTTATGTTGTACCATCACCAGGAAGTAGATGTAAATGTGTTGTGGTTTTCCTGTGTTGTGATATAAGAGTGGGCGTAGCAGAAGTAGTAGTTCAGCCCATGGCGGGCGGAGACTTGTTCCTGCTTAACCACTTTGACAACGTCTTAAACCAAAAACCTGTGTTTTGAATGGAGCTGCGGTGTTACCTGTTGGACCAATGGACCCTAAGGGGCTGATATTCACTGACAATGAAGGACTATGAGGAGTGCATAGCCTTTTTGGGCCAATGGGGTTGCTTTCAGTTCGTGATATTCTTCCTCCTTTGTGCCAGTATAATGCCCAATGGATTTGGGGCATTCACTTTAGTGTTTTTAACAGATGTACCTCCGCATCACTGCATTGTTCCCGGAGCTAATCTGACAGAGGAGTGGCAAAAAGCAGCCATTCCTATAGAGGTGAGGTAAAAAATAAGAATCTACTTTTTGTGTGTGTTTAAACTTGAACCAAACAGACAAGTATGCAGTACAGTACTCAACATGTTGTTACCAGCTGTCTGTTACACAATGTTATAAGTCAGCATGCTTCAGTTAGGCGTGTGTGGTACTGTGCAAAGAAGAAAGATCTATTTGAATGAATTAAAATTAAATAAAAAGAAAAAAATCAAAATTTAACACCCACAAGTAAGCCCTAAAACTCTCACCCACTGACAATGTTTCTTTTCTTTTTTCATTTAACTTTAATTTAGGAAATCATTTGGATTTGTAATAACTATAGACTGTATATATAAATGGACATAGCTAACCTCTAGCTTCCGTGTCCCAAATAGGAAGTGAGCATGGGCACGCTTCCGGCTCCATCGGCTCCTGCTCCGATTCACTTTCTATTGAAAAACATAAATGCTGCTGTCAGGCCAGCCATTTTGGTCTTAAAATGTTCGTATTAACCCGCTCTACATGGTCCTGGTGTAAAACAGTTCCTATTCCTAATACAGAAGTTGGGTCCGAAATCACTTCTATAACTGCTAACCTCATGAGCCTCATTTGACTGGAGCCAAACTCTATGTGTGACATCACACTCCCTTTGTCCACTTTTTATACAGTCTATGGTAATGACAAATAAAATAAAATGTTTGATATTGTGTCATTTCTGAAAGATTACATAAAGGCAATAAGTGGCTTTTTTTTACTCTAAAATCTGAAGTTGTCAAATTGTTCAAGATTATCAAGATTATTAGAGAATCTGAGGAAACACTGCAATATGTCCACTTTATTTATATAGCACATTTTATAAACAAAGACTGTTTTCAAAGTGCTGCACAGGGTGAAAAAAAAAATAATAATAATGTACAAATTAATACAGAAAAACAATAATAATGGAGTAAAACAAATACCAGTTTTTTTTATACATTCTTAAATGACTAGATATTTGAAAGAAATGTAATATTATATTATTATATATTGAATTTTAATGAATTAATGCATAGATTAATTGCTAAACAATATAGCCTTTTTAAAATTAGTGCTCCTTTAAGTAGGTTTGACTTAAATACATTTTACAACATTTACAATAAATTGGAATACATTTAAATGATCAATTGCCAATTAGATTAAATAATTCAATTTCATTTTTAAAATGTTCAAAACCTAAATTAAATTACTTTATTATTTTATTTATTTATTTTCTGAATTTATTTATTAATTTACTGTTAAAATAAATTGGGCCATTGATCCAATTAAACAAAATCAACCAGTTGCATCAACCAATTGCAGCCAGCCACAGAGAAGCCCTGTCCCCCTGGTTTTAAGTCTGGTTTTAGCCAGCAGGAGCTGGAGCCGACTCTCGGACCTTTAATGTTTTACTTCTCTTCCTTATGTTTCTGTGTATGTGTATGTGTGTGTGTGTGTATGTGTGTGTGTGTGTATGTGTATGTGTATGTGTGTGTGTGTGTTGTGCTGAGGTGGTGAATGGTGTGGAGGAGAAGAGTCGCTGCAGCAGGTACAGGCTGGATGTGGTCATGGATCTGTGGGCTCAGGGCTCTGCTCCTGGAGACGTGAACCTCACCCAGCTGCAGCAGGAGCCCTGTGTGGACGGCTGGAGCTACAGCAAAGACATCTACCAGTCCACTTTAGTCACTGAGGTACCACTAAACACAAGCTTTGAATTCACTCCGCACAGTAGTGGACGACTCCGAACACAAATGTTCATAGTTTAAAAGACAATGATACAAAATGGATAACACTTACAATCTGAATTCATTTTCTAAAGAATATTTTGGCGTATCTCACAAGCACAAGGAACTGTCAGTCATAATCACTGGTGTCCTTTTAATCAGACCACTTTATCAGCACATGTATGACATGATTTGACATGTTTGGGCTGCTGCTGCGAGCCGTCCTCACAACTGTCACAGACTTTGGTGGTAACGTGTCATATGTCAGTGGTTGTTACATGACACACCAGCACCAAGACCTGGCTCACAGATAGCAGCCCAAACATGTCAACAAGGTACAATACATCTCTCTGAAGAAGTTATCTACCTAAAAGAAAACCAATATAATACTGTAAATAAAGACAAGAAGAATGTAGCCAAAGTAATCCAGCACCGTGAACTGAATGAACTGTACATTTAGTGCAGTACACTATGATTCAGCCAAAGGTAGAACTGAAAATACAAGATCAGCCTCATACCGTCATGTAAGTGTGTAAACAAATTCTTGCAATTGGGACTCCGGCGTGTTTGATCAGGTCTTAAAAGGTCTAGCAGACTATAGGTGTTAAACAAGTATTAAGAGGTATTACGTGAGCAGGTCACACCTAAACAATACACATACAAGTACAATACAAATGGATATAGAAATACACATCATAAATAGAAGAAAATACAGTGTAAATTACATGTGGTTCTTAATATTGGATCATTTTCACATGAATCGGGTCACATCATACAGCACCAGTGATTACTGACAAACAGGTAGCACTAGTAGTATGGCCTATTGACTCCAGGATATAACCTGCATAAGCTGAATTGTGTGTTTAAGTATCTGATATAAAATAATACAGCGTATTAATATCCACCTCTCACTCTTGTTCATTCCCTTAATAGCTCGATTCTCTTCTCTGATTGGTCAAAATAATACATACAAATCATGCATGTGATGATTTATCCTTATTTTATTCAGGAATTTAACCTGGTCCAGAGCAGGGTGAGGGCATGTTACCATAGAGACACACCCCATTAGGAAGTGATGCAGCCTCATAATTCCACTAAACCAGGGCTAACCCCAAGTTACCTTTAACCCTTTAACTGTTTTGATCTAAAATGGTCTAACATAAAACAGGTTATATCACTATTGGAGCAGCAGAGTAGAATAATAACCAACAATTTTCTTTTTGAATCCTGTTCAAGCTTTTAAGTCCTTTCCTTGAAAAACCCTTACTACCTAAATGGAGGCACAGTTGGTGTTTTTAAATGTTGGACTGTGAGCGCACAGGCGATTTCAATCCGTGTATCATTCGTTCATTCGTTTTTCAGTGTAAAACCAAAAATAAGAAAACGAAAAAACAACAGTTTTCTTCACTATTTGTCTCCAAAACCAAAATGAAAAAACGGATAACGATTTGTTTTTTCAGTTTTCGATTTTGTGTTTAAATGAAGAATGGAAAAAACGGATAACGACCGTTTCCCATTTACGTGACTTCCTTGACTGCGATGCCGAACTTTTACACCGCATACAGACTGAACCAGGACTGATCCAGGTCCGAGACCAGACCGGGACCAGAGCGGGACTGAGACCGGGACAGACCGGGACAGACCGGGACAGACCGGGACCAGACCGGGACCAGGGTGGACTCCGAGCTTTGACTCCGAGCCTCAACGGGGTCCGAGCCTCAGCTTCGAGCTCCGGCCCTGCCGTGGACTCTGAGCCTCCGGTCTGGTCCCGGTCTGGTCCTGGTCTTGTCTCGGTCTCAGGCCCGCTCTGGTCCCGGTCTGTCCCAGTCTCAGTAGCGGTCTGGTCCCGGACCTGGTCCATTTGAACCAAAAGCTCTTAGTCCGGTTCGTTTTCGTTGGTGTGAAAGCGTCAGTTGGATGCTGCACCACCTCGGAACCAGCCGTGGTTCTTGAGCGCGGAGGACCGGAGCAGCCCGTCCGGACCTGTAGTCTACCACGCATTCTCGCTTTCCCCACACGGAACCAGCGCACAGACGATGACACGGAACCGCTCGGACCACTGGTCTCGGTCTCAGTTCTGCTCTGGTCCCGGTCTCAGTCCCGGTCTGGTCCCGGTCTGGTCCCAGTCTCAGTCTCGCTCTGGTCCTGGTCTGGTCTCGGACCTGGATCAGTCCTGGTTCAGTCCGGCATCGCAGTCACGTAAGTCACGTAAATGGGAAACGGTCGTTATCCGTTTTTTCCATTCTTCATTTAAACACAAAATCAAAAACTGAAAAAATGAAGAAAACTGTTTTTTCATTTTCTTATTTTTGGTTTTATATTGAAAAACGAATGAACGAATGATACATGGATTGATTTCAAATACACTACACTATCATTGGTCCCATTTATTAACTGCACACAGTATAAAAAATCACAAAGTTATTCAAGTTATTACAGCTTTAAAGTCCAGTTAAGTCTGGCACCTTGTTATGAACGTGTACAAATTAATATTAAAAACTTGCACTGGTTTTAAAGTATGAGGCAGGAAATCGGGTGCTAATGATTCCTTGTTTTTTATTCTAACCCCCTCAGTTTGACCTGGTCTGCCATGACGAGTGGAAGCAGCCTTTCACAGCATCAGTTTTCTACGCTGGAGTCACATGTGGATCTTTATTCTCAGGGGAACTCTCAGACAAGTACAGTACAGTATATGCACATTAGTTCAGATTTAGCCGTTTTTAACAATCATCACTGCTCACAAGCTCAGCAGTAGTAAGATTCACGTTTATTTATCCCATTGACTTTTTAAAGACACAAATCAGAGCCTATTTCTGAAACTTTATAAGCCACAAAGTTATGCAAAGATTTAGTTTTACACACGTTTTAAACAGAAATTCATTATGGCGTAAACATTAAATAACACAGCTGGTTAACGTGTGTTGGTCCTTTACAAAATATGGGGCAACATTAATGAGGAATTTACTCCTGAGCCACATTTATTTATTTATTTTTATATTTTATAGATAAAAATGGCTTAAATATCGATTTAAACAATGGCTTAAATGTTAATTACAATAAAAACACAGTACATTTTTGCCATTTAACACAGATACACAGCTGCAAACCAGATGCTTTTAATGACTCAACAGTCTAGGCTGATCATTGACGTTTGTCCTTGGACCTTTTTCTTGGAATCTTCTCTGCTTAAGAACATATGAAAAATATCATTTAAGTGTGCCATTTGTTTATTACAGATTTGGCAGGAAACCAATCCTTTTTGCAACTATGGCAGTGCAGACGCTTTTCACTTTCTTCCAAGTGTTTGCAGACTCTTGGATTTTGTTCACTGTTCTTCTGTTTTTTAACGGATTGGGCCAGATGTCCAATTTTGTTGCTGCTTTGGTGCTTGGTAAGATCACTTTATGAATCATTTGAAATAGAACTCTTGTCTGTTGGAATGTAGGATTAAATGTTGTCTATTGAGCTCAGTTTAAGTTTTTAAAATAGATTTTTCATAAAATGACAGGTCTTGTGATTGTCATTAGTTACCACACAACTGATTAGCTCCTAACAAGCTTTCAAACTTTTTATTTATTTTTCAAAATGTTATTTGTCTTATACAGAAATTGAACACAATTTATATTACATCACAAATAGTAAAGTAAGCAAGCTTTAAAACTTTTAGCAGTTATCGCAAAGTGTCTTATTACTTAATTGCAATGATAATATTTTTATAACAGTATTTTGGGATATAGCCTGTTCACACACAAGAAGAAAAAAACAATTATATTCTGAAATTTTGAAATGAAAGAAATTAGGTCACACACAGAGGTGAGCTGTATTGACGGTAATTGCTGTGCTGATTTTCTAATTTATTTTTTAACTTTATCTCCATAAAACTGTTCAGGCGATATTTTAACAATGCCTCGGGAATGTGCTGCATGTGTCTGTGAATGATCTTTATTTCAATAGCAGGGACCACGCCACAACAATGGAATACGGTAAAGATATTTATTTGCGTCGGATAGATGCGATGGCTGGGGGGATATTCAGGGTGGGGGTTCCGTCTCCAATCCAAAATGGTCACCCAGCTGAATTGGAACCCCCCTCCTTGAAGATGACGTGGGAGGGAGGGGGGCGAGAGAACTGACGCAGACGGTGTTGCCGGGATAGGCTGTATAAATAGGACTTTTGGGGAACTGAAGGTGTGGTTGAGATAAGCTGTGGTTGGCTGAAGAGGAGGTTGAGGCGTGGTCCAGCTCCTGAATCTCAGTTAATCATATTAACTCCATTTATATATGAAAAAATACTACTAAACTAGATGGAAAACAACTGCTAAAGTATATGAAGTACTCTTGCTAAACTACATGAACAATTACTACTAAACTATATGAAAAACTACTGCTCAACGAGACAAACAACTACTACTAAACTAGATGAAAACTACTACTTAACTAGACATAAAACTACTTCTAAACTAGACGAACATCTACTACTAAACAAGACGAACAACTACTGCTAAACTAGACAACTACTACAAACTAGACAAAAAAACTAAATGAAAAACCTCTGCTAAACTAGATGAGAGAGTACTACTAAACTAGACGCAAAACTACTGCTAAACTAGAGAAACAACTATAACTAAACTAGATGAAAACTACTTCTTAACTAGACGTAAAACTACTTCTAAACTAGACGAACATCTAATACAAACTAGACAAAAAACTACTACTAAACTAAATGAAAAACCACAGCTAAAGTAGAAAAAAAAGTACCACTAAAGTAGACGTAAAACTACTGCTAAACTAGATGAAAAACTATGATTAAACTAGATGAATAACTACTGCTAAACTAGACTAACAACTACTACCAAACTAGACAAAAACTACTAAACTAAACGAAAAACTACTTCTAAACTAAATGAAAAACTACTGCTTAACTAAACAAAAAACTCCTGCTAAACTAGACGAACAACTACTACTAAACTAGATGAAAAAGTATTGCTAAACTAGACAAAAAAATACTACTAAACTAATGAAAAACTGCTAAACTAGACAGAAACCACTGTTAAACTAGATGAAAAACTACTTACTAAACTACAAATTTTAGCATATCTTCAGAAGTGGCTATTTTCCATTTTTTGATAACAAATTGTAAAATTGATATCATTTCTTTGCACCAATCTAAAGTGAATGTCCTGCAGGTGCAGAGATCTTGACCGGTCACGCTCGAGTCATGTATTCATCGCTCGCCACTAATTCTGCCTTTGCACTGGGGTACATGATGTTGCCTTTATTTGCCTACTTTCTGCGGGACTGGAGAGGGCTGCTGCTGGGCCTCGCTGTCCCGGGGTTAGCCTACATCCCAATGTGGTGGTGAGTGACTGTTCTTTAATACAGTTAAGACGTAGATTTAGACAAATTTAATTGACCCACAAGGGAAATTATTTGGACACTGTAGCTTACAGTTTATATTGTTCGTGCGTAGGATTCCAGATTGTGTCTCAAGTGATTTTATGTGCAGTGTTGGGGAGTAACAGATTACATGTACCGAGTAACTGTATTCAGTTATAGTTACTGTTTCAGTGAGTGGTAATTGGATTACAGTTACTTTGTTGAAAGACATGGATTACACGGTGGTATTTAGATTTAAACTAGGTCTAAACTAGATCTAAACCTGGTCTAAAACAGGACTAAACCAAGACTAAAACCAGGTCTAAACTAGGTCTAAACTAGATTTAAACTAGGTCTAAACTAGATCTAAACCTGGTCTAAAACAGGTCTAAAACAGGACTAAAACCAGGTCTAAACTAGATCTAAACCTCAGGTCTAAAACCAGGACTAAGCCAGGACTAAAACCAGGTCTAAACTAGATCTAAACCAGGACTAAACCAGGACTAAAACCAGGTCTAAACCAGGTCTAAGACAGGACTCAAACATGCTGCGTGGACCGTGTCTCCTCATCTTCTATCAATAGTATTTTTAATTCGGTTAAGTAAAGTCTGGGCTTTTCATTTTCTTTTATTTCCTCATCTTTGACAAAATCAAATAATTCTTTTACAGCTTAATGGATTACGTTACAAACTACATTTTGGGGTGTGTAATCTGTAATCTGTAGGAGAATACATTTTAAAAGTTACTTTCCCAACACTGTTTATGTGCTACTTTCTCCTAATGAGAGACAAACAGGTCCTTAATAATGCTGGTAATGTTACGGAGAAGGACTGCTCAATTAAGGTTTAACTCAAAACTATAAATCTGATTATTTGAAGGTCCTATACCTAGAATTGACTCTTGTGAGCTTCAAGCCATTAGGGCTGTGCAAAAATATCTAAATATCAATATATCGTATCATTTAATGTGATGATACAGTATCAAAATTGTGACCTGCTGTATCAATATATCGCCAAGAGTATTTTTTGGTAAATTTTACACATTTATTTTGTTACAGCTACAGTTTCGTTGCTTGTTCAGAGGAAGGAAACTCGTTTATGCGACACATTTGACATTTTCACGGTTTTGATGATTAAAATCCAATCCACTTTATTTCTATAGCACATTTTACAAACAATTTCCAAAGTGCTGCACAAATAAATAATAATAACAACAATAATAAAATGATAAAATAAACACTCAGATTTAATCATACTAGTTTTAAAATAATAAAACCAGTAAAATAAGATAAGAGCAAAATCATAGAATAGCAATAAATAAATAAAGCCAATAAAATACATTCAAAATAAATAAAAGAAATAAAAGACACAGAGAATCACACAACTCACACGGTGTTAAAAGCCAGAGAATAAAAGTGGGTTTTAAGACAAAAAATTTTTGTGTTTCATATGAACTTTGCACAAGAAGTGATTTAACAAAGACTTTTAGTATCACAACCATGATTTAAGCTTTATTTTTATTGAACCTTATCGAATCAATTTGAAATATATAGCACTGAATTTATCGAGGTATGTATCATATCGGCAACTTCTTAATGATGCCCAGCCCTAGTTAGAATGTTGTTACGTCCTCAAAAACATAGCTGGGGGTGTGTTTTGTTTCATCCACATGTTTGAGTAATCCTGGTTTATTAGTCTGTCGACATCTCCAACGCTCAAAATGCTCTGTTCCACCTTGTGATGTCATGAAGTGGTAGTTGTCAAGTTAACAAATACCTTTTACCTTTTGTTCAGTAGAGAACGGCAATTCCAGGGCTGAAATCATCCAAATGATTCGAGTGCAGACGTATGGAGTTTAAAAACACAATGGAGCACTTCCTGTATTAACTGAGCTAAGAATATCTAAAGGCTGTTTTGTCAAAATGCATTTTTCTCCTTGAGGGACACAAAATGACTCCTTAAAGTAACACCATGCATCAAACATTTCAGTCTTGTACTTAAAGAAGACCTATTGTGCTTGTGTCTGATGTGTAGTTGTAATCTTTGACACCCATGGGTCAGTGTTATAATTTGCACATTTTAAATTTCAATATTCATCTTAAGCCAGTGGGAGCTGACGTTGCCATCACAACAAAGAGCCGTGTAGCTACCTACACCTCCGATGGATAGCTGCACATCACTGAAGCACAGATTTTCTTTGTCCATTCATATCAAAATGAATATGCAATGTACCAAATCCCATGCATATCGGCAATTAAGAAAATAACTTTGGAGAACAAAGTAAGTAGAAAACAGTGGACGTATGCTGCTGGTGGTGAAAACAGGAGTTGATTGGCAGTGTGACGTCTTAAAAATAAGCAATCACTCTAAATACTAGATGAAAAACTACTGCTAAACTAGATGAAAAACTACTTCTAAACTAGATGAAAAACTACTTCTAAACTAGATGAAAAACTACTGCTAAACTAGACAAAAAACTACTGCTAAACTAGATGAAAAACTATTTCTAAACTAGACAAAAAACTATTACTAAACTAGACGAAAAACTACTGCTAAACTAGACAAAAAACTACTGCTAAACTAGATGAAAAACTATTTCTAAACTAGACAAAAAACTATTACTAAACTAGACATACAACTACTGCTAAACTAGATGAAAAACTATTTCTAAACTAGACAAAAAACTATTACTAAACTAGACATACAACTACTGCTAAACTAGACGTAAAACTACTGCTAAACTAGATGAAAAACTATTACTAAACTAGACATACAACTACTGCTAAACTAGACATAAAACTACTGCTAAACTAGACGTAAAACTTCTGCATGTTCAAACATGCACAAATCACTCCAAATACAACTTTGAGAGTTTAATGAAAAGGAGAAACTTTAACATGTTAAAAGCTCTGAAAAGCTGATTTTGCAGAATAGGTCTGCTTTAACATGATTTTGATGGATCATGGACAAGTTATTTGATTCAAAATTGTTGATATATTAACATTTGCACATTTTTGTTGTTCAAAATGTCTCTGTGTATGGCCTGGAGTCTGAAATGCAGAGCACAGGGTGAGGATAGGACTGTAGGCCAAAACCATAGACTGTATAAGGGACCCTTGCACCAAGGGACGTCAGTGTTCAGCTCCAGTCAAATGAAGCTCATTGTGGCTGCAGTTATAACTAGGAACAGGAACTAGGTACAGGAATACATTTACAGACAAAATACCAAATAAAATGACCAGGATCATGTAGTGCAGGTTAATTTGAACATTTTAAAACCAAAAGGAGGAGCCTGACAGTAGCACTTAGTAGCACTTTTTTTTCAATAAAAAGTGAATTGGAGCCGCAGTTGATGGAGCCAGAAGTGCAGATGCTCACTTCCTATTTGCAACGCAGCAACTAGCAGGTTAGATATGTCCATTTATATACAGTTTATAGTGAAAACAGTCCTCAAAGGCAGGACAATACAGATGTTTCAAACATGAATGAACTAATTCAAATCCAGCTGTGTACACTGACGAGAGAACCCTGTAACATGTTTAAAAGCTCATAAAAGTTAATTTGACATTATATTTCCCCTTTAATCACACATGTTATTGTCCTTTTTACTCAGGTTAATTCCGGAGTCTCCTCGCTGGCTGCTCTTTCAAGGAAAAGTGAAAGAGGCTGAGGCCATTATAAAAAAAGCAGCTCGATGGAACAAAATCCCAGTGCCACAAAACACCTTTGACCAGTTTGTTGTATGTACTGCTGTTTTTTTGTTTTTTTTTGTTTTTTGGAACTTGTTGAAATATATGTATTGGAAGCTTTTTGCCAGGTATCTATGGACAGTATAGAGGATAGTAGATATTTATGAGTATAATTGGATAATTGGATAATATTGAGTGGAGCCATCTCAATGAACCAATCTGTCCTGTATTCACGCTGCTACCGACACACTTCCTCCTGCATGTTTGAAGAGCTGTTGTGTGTGCTTGCAGGTGCCAGAGAAGGAACAAGAAAAAGCAAAGAAAAACTACAGCGTGTTAGACCTGTTTAAAACCAGCACCATCCGGATCACAACGTTAAACCTCTTCTTTATATGGTAAGCAGTGTTGGGAGTAACGCAGTAATGTTCGGCATTACAGGGGAAGAAATGTTAATATTTTACTAGGTACAAATGTGAGTAACGCGCATTACAATGCTTTTATAACCTGGATTGAAGTGATGGGTTTTTCTTCATACAAATTTATTAAAATCACCTCGAGATCTGCAGCGGTGAAATGCTGGAGACACACCCGCGTAGACCGTCAGGTGACCGCGGGTGAAAGGACCGGTGCAGAAGTCCGCACTGTTTAGACCTGGTTTAAACCTGGTTTAGACCTGGTTTAGTCCTGGTTTAAACCTGGTTTAGTCCTGGTTTAGTCCTGGTTCAGTTCTAGTTTAGTCCTGGTTTAGATCTGGTTTAGTCCTGGTTTAGACCTGGTTTAGACCTGGTTTAGTCCTGGTTTAGTCCTGGTTCAGTTCTAGTTTAGTCCTGGTTTAGACCTGGTTTAGACCTGGTTTAAACCTGGTTTAGTCCTGGTTCAGTTCTAGTTTAGTCCTGGTTTAGTCCTGGTTTAGTTCTGGTTTAGTCCTGGTTTAGTCCTGGTTCAGCTCTGGTTTAGTCCTGGTTTAGACCTGGTTTAAACCTGGTTTAGTCCTGGTTTAGTCCTGGTTCAGTTCTAGTTTAGTCCTGGTTTAGTTCTGGTTTAGTCCTGGTTTAGACCTGGTTTAAACCTGGTTTAGTCCTGGTTCAGTTCTAGTTTAGTCCTGGTTTAGTCCTGGTTTAGTTCTGGTTTAGTCCTGGTTTAGTCCTGGTTCAGCTCTGGTTTAGTCCTGGTTTAGACCTGGTTTAGACCTGGTTTAGTCCTGGTTTAGTCCTGGTTCAGTTCTAGTTTAGTCCTGGTTTAGTCCTGGTTTAGTTCTGGTTTAGTCCTGGTTTAGACCTGGTTTAAACCTGGTTTAGTCCTGGTTCAGTTCTAGTTTAGTCCTGGTTTAGTTCTGGTTTAGTCCTGGTTTAGTCCTGGTTCAGCTCTGGTTTAGTCCTGGTTTAGACCTGGTTTAGTCCTGGTTCAGTTCTAGTTCAGTCCACGTACGGCGAAAAAGTTCAGCCTCTTTTGGTGAGAGTAACTTAAAAGTAATGCAATAGTAATGTAAAGCCTTACATTTTAAATGCAGTAATATTGTAATGTAACAAATGACTTTGAAATAAGTAATAAATAACGCATTACAGTTTTAAAATAACTTGCCCAACAGTGATGGTAAGTGTCTGAAATCCACTCAGTTAACACACAGTGAACAGTGTTAGCCCACTTTCAGTTCCAGTTGCAGTTTTTCATTTAATACATGAGGAAAAAACACAACAGTGTACAGAAAGAATCATAGTAAGAAGAATGATGCTGATGGTAAGTTTCTTCTGTAAAGAGCTGCCTCTGACCTCCAGTCACCTCACGGGCGCAGACTGTCTGATCAGCTGCTATGAAGTTTCTCACTGAAATCTGTCTTCGCCAACAAAACTCACTTGGTTTAACTTCTCAATGCATTCTCAGTCTCTTTTACTAGCACCACTATTATAAAAATAACCATCCCTCCAATCACAGCTTTTTGCTTTTTGATACACAGTCTAAATCTAAATATGGTTTGTAAATCCAGGTAAATCCACTTTTGTCTGTCTCCAGGTTCATCATGTTCTTGGCCTATTATGGGCTGAACCTGAACACTTCGCAGCTCCACCCAAACCCATATTTGAGCTGTTTTATTTCAGCTCTAGTGGAGATCCCTGCTTACACCTGCAGCTGGCTCATCCTCAGGTATTTTTGTAAATATTTTGCTAATATTTTCTATTTATTTTAGAACAACTACAAGGCTTAAAGAAGATATATTTTTCCTGGTATTTCATATTAACATTTTTAATTCATCATTTTAGATTGTATTTATTATACGCTGAAAGTTTCTGAGTACTCAAGTCTCAAATATAGACCATTTCTTTTAGCCTTGCCTTCATTGTCTTGCAGTTGCTGAATACAAAATCTGCAGCTAAATAATGCTGATTAGAAACAGGTTTTGTCTTGTGTTGACCTGGTTTAAACTTGTTCTGATTTAATTATCTAAACACCCTGCAATTACTTTTTAAGTCTTAACAACTTATATTTAACTTCTATATTTATTAGTTCATTAAAGTCTGTACAGCCGAAGAATGGTTCAGAAGTCCCATATGATGAGTTACACACAGAGGCCAGTTACGTCGCCCGGATTGGCGTCACCGGGGCCTCACCCTGGAGCCAGTCCTGGGGTGGGTGCTCGCCAGCGAGCGCCTGGTGGCCGGGCCTCCCCCCACGGGGCCCGGCCGCGCTCAGCCCGAAGGAGCGACGTGGGGCCGTCCTCACGTGGGCCCACGTGGGAGGATCCAAATGGGGCCGGTGCAAAGAGATCTGCGCGGCAGTCGAAGGCGGGGACCTCGACGACCGGATCTCCGGACATGGAGACTAGCTCTGGGGACATGGAATGTCACCTCGCTGGGGGGGAAGGAGCCTGAGCTTGTGCGGGAGGTTGAGCGTTACCGACTAGATATAGTCGGCCTCACCTCCACGCACAGTTTGGGCTCTGGAACCCAACTCCTTGAGAGGGGCTGGACTCTCCATTTCTCTGCCGTTGGCCTGCTTAGGCTGCTGTCCCCGCGACCCGGCCCCGGATAAGCGGACAAAAATGGATGGATGGATGGATGGAAGTCGGTACTTAAATGCACCTGATTTTTCGGATTATAACTCATACTTTTTTTCATGGTTTGGGTGCTTCCTGTGACTTATCCTTAGGTGCGATATATTAAAATTTTCACACTGACAGCAGTGAGAGGCTCTAGTCTTGTGTGTCAGTATCTGCTACTCATATTACTCCTGTACCACTGTCACTTCACTCTACTGCGCATGTCTCCTGCAGAAAGAGCCTCTGTTCTGTCTGTATCATGTCAGTCGATCGCACCATTACTTCTGCACCACTGAAAATTTAACATTTAAATAAACTTATAAAGACGACTGAGAAGACTGAACAAAAAAGCCCCCCAAAAGAAAATCATTTTTGCAGATTATAAGCTGCAAGTCGTGAAATCTGCAGCTGAAAACGGTAATTGAGGAACAGAAAGAAAGTTTGGAGTAAGAGAGAAACTTGTGACACCGGGAGGATGCACCATGAAACTTTCCTGAAGTCACTGGATGGATGGACAAAGTCTTGACTTCAGTGACACCGAAACCATCCTGTCGAGATTCAGAAAGACCCGAAGAATTCTAACTGGAACTGATGCTGAGTCTGACGACAGCTACACAGAAGAGGAAGCGGCGCTCTGTTTACCTCCGGACGTCGCAGAGTTGCTCAGAAGTGACACCGAGGATGAAGAATTGAATGGATTTAGTGATTTGGTGTGAGATGGAGAGTTTGGTAAACTTGTTCTGTTCTGTTGTTTATGCTATAGTTATCTGAAGAACTGTTCATATGTGACGTTAACAGTCTGTTGGTCTCTGTTCTATTGTTACCACTATAACTTGCCTTTCAAGATGAAATATCGGTTCCTGGTCTCTGATTTCATAAAATACTTATTTATGTTTTTTTATTCTTTATTATAAATTTTTTTGCTGGTGCGACTTATAATCCGAAAAATAAAAGTGAAAGTATTAAAGTTTGTTTTATTTATTGATGCCATTTCATTTGGTGGCACAATTATTACATTTTTACATATTGCCTGTTTAGTAGATCCCGGGAAAACATTGTATTGATGCTGTTTCTTCTTTTGAGTTTAGGAAATTCCCCCGCCGAGCCTCCATCATTGCTGCCTTGTGTGTGGGAGCAGCTCCACTCTACTTTATACAACTGGTGCCTAAAGGTGAGTATGATGCATGGATTCAAATAGTCAAATAATATGATTTTGACATTAAAATGAATCACATCAAATTAAGAGTGAATTTTATAATCAAACTGTAAGTGCTGTTCTAGTCCAGTTTTTGAGTTGTGTTCATATTTTACGTTTACATTTCTGTCAGGAGAACATTGTAGTATTACTGTATTTCATTTTATCCCGCCCTTATCCCGTATTGATTACAGATTGTCTTATTAAATATAAGAAAATTTCACTTTCAGATATGCCGACTCTGGCCTTGATTGTCGAGATGACGGCCAAATTCTCGTTCACGGCCGGAACCTGCTTCATGTTCACCTACACGTCGGAGCTGTACCCCACACCCCTCCGGAACACAGCCACTGGAACCTGCTCTATGATGTCCCGGATCGGCAGCTGCGTCGCCCCGTTTATACTAAAACTCAGTCAGTGTTCAACGGTTTCAGATGAGTTTCATGACAGGTCCCCCATGTCCGGAGCACTTCCTTCTCCATTCATTGTGTTTTGGGAATTAGCAGAGTCGTGCTAAAATAAATCTGTATTTAAATATTAGACGAAGGACAGCAGGTTACTACGGAAGCGGAGAGGGGTCGCAACAAACGCAAACGACTCAACAAATACAAATGCGGCAACACAACAAAAAGCCACAACACACCAAAAAAAGTGACTGCAGGACTCTATTTTAATGCAAACGCCGCAACAAATACAAATGCCGTAACACAAATGCAAATGCCGCAACACAAATGCAAATGCCGCAACACATTAAAAAGCCACAACACATTAAAAAGCCACAACACATTAAAAAGCCACAACACATCAAAAAGCCGCAACACATTAAAAAGCCACAACACATTAAAAAGCCACAACACATTAAAAAGCCACAACACATCAAAAAGCCTCTACACATTAAAAAGCCACAACACATCAAAAAGCCACAACACAAATGCAAATGCCGCAACACATTAAAAAGCCACAACACATCAAAAAGCCACAACACAAATGCAAATGCCGCAACACATTAAGAAGCCACAACACATCAAAAAGCCACAACACATCAAAAAGCCACAACACAAATGCAAATGCCGCAACACATTAAAAAAGCCACAACACATCAAAAAGCCACAACACAAATGCAAATGCCGCAACACATTAAAAAGCCACAACACATCAAAAAGCCACAACACATCAAAAAGCCACAACACAAATGCAAATGCCGCAACACATTAAAAAAGCCACAACACATCAAAAAGCCACAACACAAATGCAAATGCCGCAACACATTAAAAAGCCACAACACATCAAAAAGCCACAACGGAAGTGACCGCGGGACTCTATTTTCCGGCGGACCGATCAAGTGGCAAGTGAAGAAGAACTGTAGAAGAAAAACAACATGAAAAGTAAAGGAACGGAGAAGTTGGAAATGTAAGTAAAAGTAATTTATTGTTGTATCATTGTTCGTTTCACGGTCTGTCAGAAAATAGAGTCCTGCAGTCACTTCCGTTGTGGCTTTTGGATGTGTTGTGGCCATGGATCTATTTGTGGCTTTTTAATGTGTTGAGGCATTTGCGTTTGTGTTGTGGCGTTTGTATTTGTTGTGGCGTTTGCATTAAAATAGAGTCCCGCGGTCACTTTTGTTGTGGCTTTTTGATGTGTTGTGGCTTTTTGATGTGTTGTGGCTTTTTAATGTGTTGCGGCATTTGCGTTTGTGTTGCCACATTTGTATTTGTTGCGGCGTTTGCGTTTGTTGTGACCCCTCTCGGCTTCCGTAGGTTACAGATGCATAATCACAGACAGTGTGCTCAAACCTTTGCAGAAACTTCCTCTGGTGAAGTAGTTGGATTGTAATAAAGATCTTAAAACACTGTCCGTGATTATAGATCAGTAACCCGCTGTCCTCTGTCTGATATTTAAATCTAGATTTATTTCAGCACATCTCAGCAAATTCCCAGTACACAATGAATTGAGGGGGAAGAGCGGCTCTGTGAATAGGGCTAATATTAACATATAAACCTCTAATATTATATCTATGTTCAGAGTGCACATTTAAAACACAGTATTGACATTTGAGAAAAAAAATCTCATGCATTTCACGTGTTTACTACAAAACAACGGATCGGAGGGCTCAGACCAAGAATCTAAACCAAGGGCGTAGGTTTGGTATGAAGCACACAGCAAAAAAACAAACAGCACATCTTTATAAGAAAGGGTAAACTGGGATAAAAAGTTGTGTATATGTTTTATGAATTCTTTCCTAAAACACACAGAGTCTGGGTAGGTCCAAAATGAGTGAGATGTGGTTTCTTTTTTACCTGGCCCCCAAAGGGTTGACCAGGTCTTGTATTCACCCTGTGTGTCTGTGTGTCTGTCCACCCGTGATAATTCCGCCATTTATGGACCGATTGTCACCAAATTCGGTACGTGTGTAAAGCCACCGTGTCCGATGCCGCAAAAAAAAACGTTTGGGGAGGATCCAAGGTCAGTTGAGGTCACACGGGTCAATTGAAAAGTCACACCATTATAAAGGATTGGCAATTTCGTCAATTTCTGAACCATCTGCGTCCTAAAATATTCACCCAATCATCACACAAGTTGGTACACTGGATGTTACAGGTTGAAACCGGTCATGGTTGCTTGAAGGTCATGGTCAAGTTCAAATATGCATTTTTGGTCATAACTCCACGAAGGATGGAGCTAGAGCAATGGGAGTGTCTCAAAATCGCAGAAAAATGATTATATATTTATAATTTGATGCATTGTATAGATAAAATATGAATAGTTTTTGAGATAATCACTAATTATAACAGTTCCTTTCTCTTTCAGTGTAGCCGTTAAAATTCTAATTGGAACGAAAATAATTTGTATTTCTTGTTTTTCTGGTGATACACAACACACTGATCTACAGTCACACAACTAACATATAAACAACTCATGAAAAATGATATTTTGGTTCCACACTAGTAAACACAGACATTCTCATGTGTGACCAATATCACACTAATGTTCATGGGCCTGTACAGATACACACATGACATTGTGGATATAAAGATCATGTAATATGGGCTGGGCTCCTCATGAACTGTTTCTGTGGTGATGAACTGACCCACTGATGCCTCATGGGGACCAGGTTGTTATCTCTGCTTGCGCTTGTTCAGTTTGCGTCCATTGTTCTTCTAAGATGATTCTGTAGCGGATAACAGCGATGTAGAAGTTTGCAGTAGATTTCCCTTTGCTTGTTGGTGATGAGATATTTGTGAGGTCATGTCCAGACATTTTTCCGTGGAATATTGTCAGTAGAGTCTGGCTGCTAAAAGCGCACGAGTAGGGCATTTGGGAAGTGTACTTGTCGCTCTTTTTCCGCGGCGACTCATTATAAGACAAGTTTAAATGAAGATGAAACCAAGTAAGTTCCTTTTGAAAAGTTTTTCAAAGTTTAGTGAGCAGCATCTTCACTCACGCCTGCTCAAGCCGCCACTTCGGGTGCGGCCCTGTCCTGCCGCTTCCCCAGATCAGGCTCCTGGCTCCACTAATGACATCACTCTGTTGCAGCCAATGAAACAGCGGCAGGAGTAACCGTGTCGTCATATCACTGAATACATCTCAGAATGTCTAATAAACAAAATGCGAACTAAAATGTGTTCAATTCATACTATTGAGTTTAAAAAATATCGGAATAAATGATATATATTTTTGTTTATTAAAATAAAATGGCAAATATTGGTAGGGACTATTTTGTCTTCCCCAAATACTGGTTGTGACCTGTCCCCACTGTCCCTGTGCAAACCTACGCCCTTGATCTATACTCTAGTGCAGGTGTGTCAAACTCATTTTGGTCCAGGGGCCATTTCTAACCTACATTGATCCCAAAGGGGCCGGATCAGAAAACTCATGGCATATAAACCCCAAAAATAACAAATCTATTACAGAAATCTTTTTTAATTGTTGAACTCTTTCTTATTATAATATAATATTATGAACAACCTGAAACTTTAAGAAAAATACAATTTCAACACAATGTTTTAACATTAACTTGTATACAAATAGGAATTAGTCAATTTTTCTTGGAAAATCCTGCACTCGGCTCCACTTTTCTCATTTTGGACATTTTGTTGATGAGGGTGTCACGGTCAACAGTCAAAACAATCATTCTTTAAGAGCGTTTGGAAAGAGACAAGTCTTCATTTGTGCTGCTCTGGTGGGAGGGGCCACGTACAGAGACGCTGGAGACGCTGCTGTGATAAACACCACAGAAAATTACCAATATTTTAATAGAAAATATAATTAAAATATTTTAGTAGAAAATCACCCAAGGGCCACATTAAAGGTCTTAGAGGGCCAGATCTGGCCCCCAGGCCTTATGTTTGACACCTGTGCTCTAGTGGTTTCATACCACTTTCATGTGTTATTTAGGTCTAATACTCTGTCCTTGTTTGCATGTGTCCAGGTGTTTTCTTAAAGTTCCTGCCTCATATCACAATAGCATCACTGGCTCTGTTTGCCGCCTCGTTCAGTGTCTTTATTCCGGAGAGTTTTGGACATCCATTACCTGAAACTATGGAGCAGATGGCAACAAGAGAAAGGTGTGTAATGTTGTATCAGATGCATTTTTGTAATAATATAGTATTCCAAAGAGACCACAGTATATAGGAGAAAGACAACAGGGCGCAATAACAAATTTTAAACAATGCTATAATGCTTTTCATATAATGTTGCGGCCAAATCCCACTTAGACCGCTGAGAGTTGCAGATCTGGAGAAAGGAAGTCTTGTCTCTGACGTCTAAGTAATCAAATCCAGTCTTAATATAAAAATAGTTTCTTTATTACTTCTTAATTGGCCAAAAAAATTCATTACTGTATAAAAGGATCTAAAATCGCACAAAGACGCCAAGCATGGCAGTCAACAATCTGTGTGCTTCGCCAGATTGCAACACCTGTGGAGCACAGGAGGGGTTCTCCCTAATGTAGCCCACCACACAGCGCCCTCTACAGGTGACGCACACACAAGACGCATGGCTCCGACACTCCGGCCCCTATAATTGGTCTTAACCCACAAGAAACAATTATACCACATACAAACAAGGAGACAGGCTTTACAAATTATTTCATTTCCAACAACATAATCAATATAAAACTCTAAGGGGCAGTTACTTGGTTTTAATATTTACTGATGAGCCATTTACTACCCACCCCAGAGCAGTCTTAATGGCATAGGGTCCAACCTGTTGACTTAGAATCACCTCCAAGGGTTCTAATGGTTTAGGAGCATTACTTCCAATAAGCAAGTCTACATTGGCTTTGATAGATGGAACTTTAACTTTGGAAAGATATTGCCACCGAGTGAGATCCTTCTCATACAACTTTTGATAAAGCTCGACTCTGGGTTATATGCAAATCTAAAAAAAAGAAAGAAGTAAAAAAAAAAGAAACCATTTGACAAAACACAGATAACAGGGTAGCTGCAGGGTCTTAAAAGTCTTAAAAAGGTCTTAATTTCATATTTAAGGCCTTAAATCTCTTAAATTATGTTGTCCAAGTCTTTTTTTGTTTTGTTTTGGGTTTTTTGTTTTGTTTATTCAACCGGGCTGCAGTGCAATGTTAAATGGAGAGAGTAAAAAAAAAAAACAACAACGTGAAATCATGTAACGTGAATGAGCGTCTAATTTGGAGTATACGCAAACAATACTTAGTTTGTCCTGTTAGAATGTTACAAATAATTTTTTTGGCCATTTTACAAGCAATACATACTACTGTAAATGAGTTCTGAATGAGATTTTATAATATAAGTTTTTTTTGTTATTTAAAGCAGTGAGTAATGGTCATTATTAGAATTGGGTGCGATGTTGGTCTTAATTTTCATTTAAGTGCTCTTAAAAAGGTCATAAAAAAGTCTTAAATTTGGGGTAGTCAAACCTGGGGATACTGGATAAAGATGAAAATAAATCCCACTAAGGGGCGGGGTCTCTTACATAAAATCAGTTCTGCAGTTTTGAACTGGAAGTCAATGGACCATTATTTATTTATTTTTATTTTTTTATGTTACAGGATACATTGCCCCTGCCAAAGAAAGAAGGAACCCATTAGGACTATGGTACCAGCTGAAGATCCCTTGTAAATAATAATAATAATAATAATGCATTAGTCTTATACAGCACTTTTCTGGACACTCAAAGTCGTTTTAAGTTTGGTGCATTATTCATTCACTCCACACTCTCCAACACTCACACGCACACCTCTTTCACACTAGACAATGTGGGTGAAGTGTCTTGCCTAAGGACACATTGACAGTTTTCGCCACTTGCGCCCCACATCGGCTTCTGGAATTCCCAGTGGTCTCCCATCCAAGCACTACCCAGCCCGACGAGATCAGGCTTTGACAAGGAGGAGTGGCCACAACCCAAGTGACGTATTTGACTTTACAGTTACAGTAACGGTTACGCTGGCAAAGTTTATGAGCTACATTGTCAAAAGAGATCACTAACACTGTCTACGTAGATTATACGTTTTGCCCTATGTATTAGGCCTGTTGGTACTTAAATGTGAAAATGACATAACGCTGCTTTCATTTTGTTCTAAGGTCCTTGTGCGGCCTAAAAGTACAGCAGACAGAACATCCATTTCATGACATGACAATTTGAATCTTTCATTGAGGAAATTGGGCCAGATTTTGGTCACTTTAAAGGAGAGACAATCAGATCAAGACAAAAAAAAACAAAAAAAACAATTAAAATAATAATAACGGAAAATGCCAAAATTATAAATAGTAACAATTCGTCGCCAAGGTTATGTAAAGACTTTATAATGAATTGTGATAGACATAACTTTGGATAAGGCACTGCAAGCTTGTGTGTGAGTGTGTGTGAAACCTGTGTGAGTTGAACTTGAGTGTTCAGTCTACTGCAAAAAAAAAAAAAAAAAAAAATCTTGGAATGTAAAAGCTTGGATTTGGTTGACAGACGTCTCATTTTGTGGCAATTATTATTTTCAGATAACAATTTAATTCAAATTGGTTGTCTTTTAAAAAGTCTTTTTAATCTTTAGGGCTCACTCTGGCTTTACTCTAGTTCGCTCTCGTTCTGGGTCAATATCACTGTGCATCATCAGCAGGCAGCACATGCATTGGCTGTAGCCCAAAATTATTCATACCCCTGACAAATTCTGACTTAAAAGTTACTTTTATTCAACCAGCAAGTTTTTTTCTTGATTGGAAATGACACAGACGTCTCCCAGAAGATAATAAGACAATGTACAAGAGGTATTATTGTGGAAAAAAGTAATTTCTCAGCTTTTATTTACATTTGAACGAAAAGTGGCATGTCCAGAATTATTCATACCCTTCTCAATAATCAATAGAAAAGCCTTTATTGGCTATTACAGTAATCCAATGCTTCCTATAATTGCTGACCAGTTTTTTGAATGTCTCCACTGATATTTTGCCCAGTCATCTTTAGCGGTGAGCTCCAGTGCTTTCAGATTGGAGGGTCTCCTTGTCATCACCTTGATCTTTAAGTCCCTCAACAGATTCTCAGTTGGATTCAAGTCAGGACTCTGGCTGGGCCACTGCAAAATAGTAATGTTGATGTCTAATAACCATTTCTTCACCACTTTTGCAGTGTGCTTTAGCTCATTGTCGTGCTGAAATGTCCACTGGTTCAAGTCCAAGTCCAAGTTCCTCTGCAGGCTGCTTGATGTTGTTGTTGAGAATTTTGATCTATTGCTCTTTGTTCATGGTGCTGTTTACTGTGATTAGACTCCCATTGGCTGAAAAAGCATCTCCAAAGCATTCGTTTCCCACCATCATGTTTGACAGTGGGGACGGTGTTCTTAGTTTTGAAGGCTTCTCCTTTTTTACACCAAATCATCAATACATCATTGTGGCCAAATAATACCATTTTTGTTTCGTCTGACCATAAAACAAAAGACCAGAAGTCTTCTTCTTTGCCCAGATGAGCATTTGCAAAGACTAAACAGGCTTTTGTGTGCCTTATCTGGAGAAGTGGCATCCTCCATGGTCTATGTCTGTGGAACCCAGTAGTATGTAGTGTCTGTTGGATTATCTGGCTTGAGATATTGCCACCAGCAGAGCCCAGATTCACCTGGATGGCCTTGGTGGTGATCTGTGACCTCTAACTATCCCCCTGACCAGCACAGATCACAGGTGTCACGTTTGGCTTCCGACCACATCTTGTGAGATTTTCCACAGTGTGGAATGTCTTGTATTTTTAAAAATAATTCTTTGCACTATCGCCACTGAAACTTGAAAATGTTTAGATATGGCCTTATAGCCAGAGCTCCTTTGTCTTAGCCATGACTGTTCACAAACCAACTGCAAAGAACTGCTGTTTTTCACCTGTTCGGTTGCTTAAAACAGCTCTTCCCAATGAATCAGGGTAATCAGGAAGTTTTAGAACAGCTTGTGCTGTTTGGAATGGTATAGAACTTTGCATTTTTCCATAGACTCTGACAGTTTACAAAGGGTATGAATAATTCTGGACATGCCACTTTTTGTTCAAATGTAAATAAAAGTCGAGAAATATTTTTTTTTCCACAATAATGCCTCTTGTACATTGTCTTATTATCTTCTGGGAGATGCCTGTGTCAGTTCCAATCAAGAAAAAACTTGCTGGTTGAATAATAACTTGAAGTCAAAATTTGTCAGGGGTATGAATCATTTTGGGCTTGACTGTATGTGCTGAAGGATTACACCTGCCACTAAGCTCGGCCCATTGCCTCCATCATGCTGGAACTCTGCAATATGGATCATTTAAGCATCTACTTTCCTAGCTATTACTTTTACTTTCTTGATGATCTGTTACTGTAATATACTCAGCGCAAAAACCCTATACAAAGCTTTTTTCTTGAGAGCCCCATGTAGATCCAAACCTCCAGGTTGAGGACCACTGCTTTAATACACACAAAAAATGTACGCACAAAACCCAAAACATGCTACATAGGTCTCTATAAAACAGTTGATAGACATGGTCAGTTAAATACAATCAATTCAATCATTGTGTCCTTAGGCAAGACACTTCACCCACATTGCCTGTTATGAAAGTGGTGTGTGTGTGAGTGATGGTGGTGGTCGGAGGGACCGATGGCGCCGAGTGGCATGGCAGCTGCGCTTCTGTCAGTGTGCCCCAGGGAAGCTGTGGCTACAGCAGTAGTTTACCATCACCAGGGTATAGAGTGAATGAATAATGCTGTATGAATGAATGCTGAATGAATAATGCTGAATAATGCTGTGTAAAGCGTCTTTGGGGACAGAAAATGTCTGTGAAAGCGCTATATAAATAAAGACTTTACTTACAAAATATGTACACACAAAAATGTATACATAAAATGTACGCACAAAAATGTATGCATAAAATGTATGCATAAAATGTATGCACAAAAATGTATGCATAAAATGTACGCACAAAAATGTATGCATAAAATGTCCTCAGGAAAAAGTTTACAAATGTCCTAGAGGAGGCATATACTCAGGTCTTTTTAGTTTTTTCTTGGCTCCTGGGTGACACACATAAACTGTATAAAGAAGTGGACTAAGCGAGTGTGACGTCACCCTCAATGTTTGGCTCTTCTCAAATGAAGCTCGTGATCCTAGCGGTTATAGTGGAGAATTTGGCTCCGTATTAGGAATAGGACTTTATTAACGGACAAAACAGCAAAATAAAAACACCAGGATGCAGTGTTAATACGCACATTTTAAGACTAAAATGACAAGGCTCACTACAGCAGTTACACACAGAGACAATATTCCAATGTCAGTTGGAGCCAGGGTCAGTAGGAGCTGGAAGCGCCCCCATGCTCACTTCCTGTTTGGGGCATGGTAGCTAGCGCGTGAGCTATGTCCATCTCTATATACAGTCTATGGTGACATATCTGAGCAAACCATCCATCACTTACTCCTCTGGAGTCTGAACAAAGTTTACATGGGGTGGTGGCTGAGCTTTGGGACAGTTTGTTTTGTTTATTAAAATTTATTTCATTATATTAAACAAATTGTTTTTGTTGTTGTTTTTTTATATCTCACAAATGCATTTCTTCAAAATGACGTCTGACGGTCTGTCGCTTCTCTGCACATATTCAGTACAGTGAACATAAAGCGTTACAGGCATGAAAATCTCTCACCTTTCGGCAAAATTCACTGTTTAGAAGCCAGAACAGGTGATCTACGTGGATCGTGTAGATTCAATAGGAAAAGTTTGTCCTTTCCCTGCAGATACTCCACCCTTTTCATCGCAGCCTCACGTGATCTGTCCCATCTGCACTTCTTAGAAGTAACAGCAGTTTCTTCATGCTCTTGCTCTTGAATCTGCTGCCATAACCTGAAGAGCACAGTGGACACATGGGAACAACACTCACCCAGTCCGTCTGTGCAGTTACACTGAGCTCCTAAGCACTACCCCGTCCTCTCTGATCACTGCTGTATTAGTATATGTACGAGTATACTTTACACATACTTAACCTTACTTAAACTGCTTAACACTGCCTGATCTTTCATCCCCTCACATGCTAAAGTGTGTTGGGAAGTGTAAATCTTTATATTCATGGATCATACTTTAGTCTATGTAATTTGTGTAGACTTTAAAAATGTATGAATGAAACATTTAAAAACTCAATGAGCCACACAACTCTCAGCATCTTAGATGGGCAAAACACTCATGTCTCTTATAGTTGAACAAGTGTCGTGACCTTTTCTGCAATGAATCTGAATCTGAAGACGAGAACAGATGTTACCAAAGCAGGTCAAGTTGGATGTTCTGGAGCTTGTGGAAGAATCTGAGTGCCACACAGAACAGAGGAGCAACTCAACAACTCCAGGACAAAACCGAGAGAGACAAATAAGGCAGCAAGTGTCACATGGGTCAGTGTCAGTGGTCAAGTCCTGTGCAGCCCTTGATGTGAGGTTTACTACTGTTAGACACAAGCTGTTGTGCATATGAGCCTGGGCACGTTGTGTGCTCTCCCTGTGTGTACAGTGTGTACAGGTGGCTGATCAAAGGCAGCTGATGGGGTTGTGTGTCCCATTGTGTCAAATCTCACATGGTGTTGTGTGTCCCATGTGTCATCTCACATTGTTCAAATCTCACATTGTCACATCATACGTGAAACAGTTTTTTAGCCATTTATAAGTGCTAACCATTTTAGCACGTTATTGTCTAGATTTTGGTGTTGATTTTGGTGTATGATAATTTTGGCCAAAAAAAAACAACTATAATTTTGAGCTCCCTGTATGACAGTGTGGTTTTGATGCTGTGCTCTCTACTGTCCTAACTACAGCTTTTTAGACCACTGATTATCTTATCAATTTGCACATCTCACAGTTGAGTCTAAAGGACAGGACAAAGGTTTGCAGAGAAGTGTATTTAATATATATTATTTCACAGTTTTTAAATGTATTTCTCAGGCCGGGCAAAACAGGCTGCCGTCAGCAGCAGAGTGAGCAGTGCCACAGCTCTCAGTGTCTTCAGCAGAGCCACAGTGTCTTTCGGAATGATCAGCTGGGCCAGGACGCTGGTGATGAGCGAGATCTCATGAGCCACACACACAAATATAAAGCTGCTGACCAGGATGTTGACTGTGTGGTTCCCAGGGATGAGCACTAAGATCATTTTTGTGTCTGCTGCCAGCCAGATGTGGTACTGGCAGATAAATAGCTGGACACAAAGCAGCATTTAAGGGATGCATTTTATAAAATCTAAATAAGAAACTTGGATCTTACCTCTAAGGAGAATTTTCCAAACCATGCAAAGAATGGACTATACATGGAGCGGACACAGCCTGGAATATTTCTGATAAGAATGAAGGCCAGAATCTGAGAAGACACACAAGCATTACAGTAACAATTAGATCATCTTTCATCTGCAATCTAATCTATAGTCCATGCATTCCAACATTACCGGGACCACAGAGATGTATGTGTGTGTCTTATTGCACTGGGCTTTGTCTGTGCAGTTGCTGGCCCACACTGAGTATGTCTAAAGTGAAGGAGAAAGCAGCTTACTCCTCAGGTCTGAATATGAAATAAACTAAACAGTCAAATATCAGAGTGCACTTACAGTAAAACAGAGTACAGACAGGAGCAGGAGGGGGATGGATACTTTGGCTGAGAACAAAGTCTGTCCTCTGCTCTCTGACAGCATCTGGTTCTTCTGAAGGACCAGGTAAAGGAAAGCAAACAGCATCCCCTGCACCACAACCTGCACAGCAAATCAGAACTCGTAACACGTCTACTGTGATCGAGCAGGAGCCAGCAGATCATTGATGGGACTTACAAAACAATCCAATTTCCAGCGGAACCACCACTCATGAATGTTCCCATGGAGTTCAAACAACCCAGATATTGGCCACGCTGTGAAACATCTTTCAAACAACCTCTGCAGGGGTGAACAAAAGCAATCTGACACGTGTAACACAGGCTTTACAATGTGGAGGTGCTGAGTATGTGTGTTCTTCCACCGCTGCTCACATTGTTTAACCTCCAAGTCCATATGTGACCAAAGGGCTGAAGGAGATTATGTGGGTGATGCACGGAGAGTAAAGAAAGAGAAGAGCAGGGGAGGAGTCGAGAGAGATGTGGATGGAAGTGAGGACACAGACTGCAGCTAGAAATCTAAACTGTGAACACATGAAGCCCGAGGAGCACCTATTCTACCAATAAAACTTTGGTTCTAAGAGTGCGCAGGTTTGGGTCAGACTGGATTTCTTTTTCCTGTTATAAACTAATTTACACAGGGGTGTGTTACCTGTGAATATGCAAAGAGATAAATGAGCAACAGGAGCCCCAGCAACTTAAGCAGCATTCCCAGGTGCCACAGACGACTGCCTGTTGAAACAAACACAACGTCATGTTTCTACACAGACCACTGGCTGTTGAAACACTCAGTGGTTTTGAGGTATTTACAGTTGGCTTTTTTCTGCACAATCTGTGGCCTCAAGGCCAATGTGCTGTAAATGATCACAAACCAGAATGAGACCAGAGGAACAAAGTAATAAAACTGGTAGGGCTTGTCCATCACCGCACACAACACCAGCACCAGGAAGTTAAGCCTGAAGAGCACCTGTAACACAAACACAGTCACATACCTGCATCTGGAGCAAAACCACAGAGTCTGCAGTCTTTACCTGGCACAGTCTGGGCAATCCAAAGTCCCCTTTGAGCCAGAAGAATGAGAAGTGTCCATAACCTGTTAGAAAGAGATAGGCTGCCACTATCACTCGCACATGCATGTAGACTGGGACAAACTAAAAAAACAGAAAGAAATTAAATGAACAGTTGTGAGTCTAAAAGTAATAATAATAATAACTAGAAACCGTGCAATGGCTGTGACTGTGGGCAGTGCTGATTTCAGTGTGCCATATATCAAGCTGGTCTGGAACCCAGGTCTCTAGTGTGTCAAGTGTACACTTTTATATTGAAGAGAATGGAAACTTTATCTGTTGTGAAAGGCACTTAAAAAGGTTACACTCTGAAAGAGTTTTAAGTGCTGTGATGTGTAAATATTGACTACAAAGAAATTCTTAAAGGTTTAAGGTTAAAAATAGCTATAGTTACATCTTTTTTGTAGAAGTCTAAGTAAGTAAAAACAGTTTACAATTAACAAGTACTACCCAGAACTCACAGCACTAGCTCCTGAAACATGATAGATGAGAATGACCAACTGCATCCAGCCCTTCCACTCATCTGTCTGCTCCCTGTTGAGCACACGGCTCTGGAACACAAGGTATATGTTCAGTGTGTGCTGAGGAACCAGGAGAAGAATCTAGACAAACATGCCCTCACGTCTTTGGTGCTCTTGCAGAACATGAGTCCAAGTACAAACAAAGAGATGAGAGGGATGAAGAAGGCAGAGTGGCTGTATTGTTTCTGTGCTTTCATAAACACATCTGCTTTGTCACACAGGTAGAAATAGGCCATGATGAGCCCCATTTTACACAGGGCGCCACACGCTGCCTCGGCCCTTAAAGGCCCAGCAGCTGTAGCTGACTTCTCCTGCTCTAAACTCTCCTCGTCTGTGGTCACAGGTTTTTGATGGGGTCGTCTCCCTCTGACGTAAAGTACCACAAACAGTACAGTTGTTCCTGAAAAGACACAGAGCACCATCTTCTGGAGAAGGGTGACTGGGGGAGTGTCCTGGCAGCACGCGCCGTTGGGCCGAATCACTTTGTTACACAGACTGTTCATAAAGGCCATAGCTGCCTGTCAAGACACAAGCAAACTTGTGACAGTCCTCACATGTGTAGGGGTCATATATGGGTCACATGTGTATGGGTCAGTCAGGGTTCGTAGCTCTGTGCTCACCACTTTCAAACTGCTGCCGGGCATGTGCAGTCCATCCCACACCTGGTGCAGCTTTTGCAGACCTGCCAGACGGGATACTACAAAGGGCTTGATGCGGGAGGTTCCAATGCCGATGGCTTCTGCAGCTGCATCATTATACAGGTCAATCTGCTCGTTTGTGATCACCTTCCTTCTCTGGTCTAAATTTGTCCAGTTCATTGGCTCTGCAGAAACATTTAAGACCTTCATTGAAATCAAAATTCCTCTACCTCTACCTCTAGATGGCTCTGCTTAGAGACGAGGCAAGAGCAGCATAACACTGGGATTTCCTGCAGAAGGAGGGTTAAGTTAAGTTAAGCTAAGTTAATGAGAGAGGGTGCTCTGGAGAAGTGAACCATTTGCCTGTTTCCTGTGAATATTGGTCTGTTTGTTTGTCTGTTTGACTGTCTCATAGTTTTTTTCTGTTTTATCATCACCAGATGAACTCGTCTGTGTTAAACCACATGACTGTGCACTGACCTTGCATGTGCCAGTACACGTCACCATACTGAGCCATCCTCTCCAGCGCTGGAGCCATAGATGTCAAGTTCACTTTGTACATGTACAGCGCCTTTGGACTGGCCCGGTTACTCAAGATTGGCCACTGGTGAAATACACACAGGAGCTTCAGAGACACTGGTTTTGGTTTTATTCTAAGCAACAGTTTGTCTGACTTACTGTGGCGGCCCCAATGATAAGAGCATCAGGCTTCACTGGAGCCTGCAACAACAATAATCACAGACTGAGAGGTTAGGTGGTTAGGTTAAAGGTTACAACTGGGTGGTTAGTGTTGGTGATTGGAGGTTTGAGTTGGGGGTTAAAGGGTTCGTGTTGGTGATTGGGGGTTAAAGGGTTAGAGTGGGTTCATGGACAGTGTTTAAAATTCTGAACTCACCTGGGAGAGTGCGACTAGACGCTCTCTCATAGTCATATTTGTCAGAGGGTTCCACAGTAACTTCTGTCAAACAAATACATGTTTTAATTCATTCTATTTCGCAGCACAAAATACACCCAAATTAACTCACCAGAGTTGTGTTTTGATATTTTATAAGGATATCTGATTGAAGCTAAGAAAAAAACACTTTCAAAAATCACTTTAAAATGATTGTGAAGATGGTGCATCACTCTCCTGCCTCTTACCTTCTCACGGATCCGTAAATCAGCAATAAAACTGACAAACACATTAAACAGATGTCTGATTCGTGAGTCTCCAACAAACACAATGTACTTTCCGGCGAGGCAGGACCTGCTCTCCCTGTGAGGGCACAGAAGAATGCTTTTATGAAGCTGCTCAAGACACTTTGGTTTAGAAAAGCTTTGACTGGGTCTTATTTTACTCATTATTGCTTTAGTCTATTACTGCAGAAATGTTATCCTTGAAACTTCTACCAAATGGGTCAGTGTTGGAATAGTGTAAATCCAAAGCTCAGAGAAGCAAAACACTAACACTATGTCCGGATTTAAACTTTAAGGAGTCACACTGGCCCCTGACATTTCTCACAGGCAGCTCCTAAAATATGTGTCCTGGCTTTGTAATATGAGACAATATGTAAGATGGTTTATAACTTTATTAAGAAGACAAGATGAATAGCAAGGCTATTTTTGATGCTTGATTTTTAATATTGACTTTTACAATGTACCCGGCATGTTTGTCAAGTCAAAAAGCCCAGCCCCTCTGCTCCTAGTCTTTACCTCCACTCCTGAGCTCATTCACCTCTTCTCTCCTCCTCTTTTTATTAGTTTGTTAGGTTATTCTTAGTCTGGTCAGTAGATGGCAGCAGAAAACACGTTAGCTGTTGTGTCTCTGAACTCATTTCATTAGGCCCAGGTGAACAGACAGGCAAAACAAACCAAACCAGGAATGTGAAGGAAAACAAAGAGACACCAGTGAGGAAATTTACCTGCAAAATTTGATTTTAAATATAGTTAAAACAGTAAAATTGTGTTTAAAATTTATCTGTCTTAATTTATATGTAAAATGAATAATCTGTTTAATTTAAGTAAGTGCAATGAGAAGCCTTAGTTAGATTTAAATGCAAATGCCCCAATTTAAGTTAAAAAGTAGATTAGTAAATAAATTAAATTTAAGTTCTTAAAATGTTAAATAAAGCTAAATTGAATAATTAAATCATTTGATTGATAATTGGCATTTGATTGTTTAAATATAATTCTGATTTAAGGTAAATGGTGTAAATTGTACTAACTTAAAGTAAAACAAATTAAGTAGCACTAATTATATATATATGTACACACACACACACACACACACACATTATTTAGCAATTAAAATTGTATGCAATGTATTAATTCATAAAAAATTTTGCTTAAAATAATAAAATATTAAATAAATTTCATATAACTAGTCATTTAAAAATTTATAAAAAATAAATGATATTTAAGATTTAAAAAATAATTAGTAAAATGATACATTGGTTAAAATTGCAGCTATTTAAGTTAATGTGTAAAAGGTATATTAAGAAATATCATAATTTAAGTATATTAATTAAAATACAAATAGATTAAATGATTTGATGAAAAAGTAAATTTAATTTCATTATCACGCATATTTGTTTACTTTAAAGGTTTTCGACCTGCTACTGCTGCAGCTATTACTACAAATACTACTACTACTGAAGGAACTGAACAGTTTCAATAAAAGTCTTCAAGCTGAGTTGAGCCTTGAGTCTGTTTTCCTGTTTTTTTCAAGTTGGACCTGCATTCTTTAATCAAAGACTTGACAATGTTGCACCCAGGGTTAGGGTTAGATCTCCACACACAGGGCTAAAATGAGGTAACTCTGATGTGAAATATGGTATTCCTGTGCTGTAAACGACCATATTTGTCCCCACAGGAGACTGTTTAACTGCACACATTTAACTGCAGCAATCTGCATATTCATACAGCCGTCTACGCCAAACACAATTTCCATGACTACAGTTTTCCAGTGGTTTTAGCACATTTTTAAAAACTTGTTTTACTTTGTACGTGTGATTTGATACAAACATGTGTCTGAACAGAGGCACAGGTGGATTTCATTGTTTTCTTTTCATAATTATAGTTGGATTGTGAATCATTTGAGTAAAGCCATAAGCCAGTTTAGCTTTTCCAATCAAGTTCAATTCTAATTAAGGGTCAGCTAAAAAATGCTCTTCATAAGTCATTTCCTAACATATCACATACTGAGTCCAGATACTCTGCTTTTGCTTCAGGCGGCCTAGCAGCATCTGATCCCTATTGGTTTTAGATAAGGCATCTGTGCTTGGAGCCACATCACTTCTAGGTCATTTTTCATTCAATCATATGTCATCTTTACTGGAATCTGACCATCTGCCCCACCCCCATAATGCATTTCTGTCTTTCCGATATGTACACTGCTCCCAAAAAATTAAAAGAACATTTTGAAAACACATCAGATCTCAATATGAAAAGCAAATATGTTGTATCTATACACATCTGGACAGGACAATGTCACAGATAATACTCCCTACAACTGTACAACAACGCACCCTTATGTAACAGATAATACTCCCTACAACTGTACAACAACTCACCCTTATGTAACAGATAATACTCCCTACAACTGTACAACAACTCACCCTTATGTAACAGATAATAATCCCTACAACTGTACAACCAACTCACCCTTATGTAACAGATAATAACTCCCTACAACTGTACAACAACTCACCCTTATGTGACAGATAATAACTCCCTACAACTGTACAACAACTCACCCTTATGTAACAGATAATAATCCCTACAACTGTACAACAACTCACCCTTATGTAACAGATAATACTCCCTACAACTGTACAACAACTCACCCTTATGTAACAGATAATAATCCCTACAACTGTACACCAGCTCACCCTTATGTCACAGATAATACTCCCTACAACTGTACACCAACTCACCCTTATGTAACAGATAATAATCCCTACAACTGTACACCAACTCACCCTTATGTAACAGATAATAATCCCTACAACTGTACACCAACTCACCCTTATGTAACAAATAATAATCCCTACAACTGTACAACAACTCACCCTTATGTCACAGATAATACTCCCTACAACTGTACAACAACTCACCCTTATGTAACAGATAATACTCCCTACAACTGTACACCAACTCACCCTTATGTAACAAATAATAATCCCTACAACTGTACAACAACTCACCCTTATGTCACAGATAATACTCCCTACAACTGTACAGCAACTCACATTTATGTCACAGATAATACTCCCTACTCCCTATTTTCTTTGAGATTTGGGGGCATTTTTGTTGTAATACAATATGATTTGAGCTGTAGAATGTTGCCTTGTCCTGCATTATTGTTATTGTGTCATAAAGTGGCATAAAGTAGAATAAATATGATCATTTATCACAGTATATCTTGATAACAATATATCATGCTTCAGAGTGTGTTTTCATAAAAGGCCCACATTACCTCTCTCTATTAGCACACTCTCTTGGCTATGGAAGTATGGAAAAAGATCATTTCACAACTAATTCTTCCCATTTTAGATTCTGCGATATCATTTATCAAAATGCTACAACTTATATTCTCCAACCACTAAACGTTATCTTTAACAGTCTGTGCAGATTCATTCTCCGCTGTCCCTTCAGAACTCACCACTGTACAATGTATCACCAACTGTCCTGGCTTCATCTGTCCTCCCGACGTCAACTTCACTGGTTATTATTTATTTTTAAATGTATTAATCTCAGTTATCCTGAATATCTTAAACAGTATTTAATTCCATTCAGATCCTCTTATAGTTTACGTCACGCAGATCAGATATTTTTTGTTGTCCCAAGAGTCAAAAAACTAATTGGAAAATACTAATTTAAATATAAAGCTCCTTCTGATTGGAACAATCTTCCCTCATCGATTTGTGCTTTAACTTCTGTCCCTGTATTTAAAAATGCTCTGGTTCAACATTTACATAACTCATGTCATTGTTTTTGATTATTTTGTTGAATTTTGTTGTTTATCTTGTTGTATCCTGTGATTATCTTTGAACTCAGTTTATTATTATTATTATTATTATTATTATTGTTGTTGTTGTTGTTGTTGTTGTTGTTGTTGTTGTTATTATTATTATTATTATTTTTTATTTTTTTCTTTCAAATTTGTTTTATTATATGTGAAACAGTCAAGCGTGAGTGAGTGTGACTGTGTGTGTGTGTGTTTGTGGTTGTGTTGATTTAGTTGTTTTGATGCTTATTTGAGTTTCTGTCTCCTACTGTCTGCCCAACTGTATCTGTCTTTTGTTGTTGTATTGATGAGGACCCCCTTGAAAACGAGATGGTGACACATCTCAAGGGGCTTATCCTCCAAACAAATAAATTCAAATTCAAATTCAAAGTACCTGTGGAGTCTTCGTGGGTTTAGGGGTAAAGAGAGACACTCACATTTTGGTGTACAGGTGCATCGTGCAACCGTCCGGCTCCCACACGTCGTTCTTAACAAAGTGACCTGTGGAGTGCAGCCGCTCACAAGAATCTGAGCCTGAGACACAAACAAGAAGCTCAGAATTAGACTGAACACAAGAGACGCAGACACAAAAATACCAAAAAGAAATACCAAAATACCATGTGTGTCTACTGTCGCTACACCCAGTAGTGTGAGTTAATAATGATGACAGCGTAATGCTTTAAGAGCAGTGTCGGGGAGTAACAGATTACATGTACCGGAGTTACGTAATCAGAGTACAAATTATGAGGAACTGTATTCAGTTACAGTTACTGTTTCAGTGAGTGGTAATTGGATTACAGTTACTTTGTTGAAATAAATCCCCCCCCCCCCCCCCCTTTTTTTTTTTTTTTTTCTTTTTTTTTCCTGTAATTCCACTCATTGCCGAAACTAAACCAGGTCTAAACCAGGACTAAACCACAACTAAACCATGACTAAAAACAGGTCTAAACTAGATCTAAACCAGGTCTAAAACAGGTCTAAAACCAGGTCTAAACCAGGACTAAAACAGGTCTAAACTAGATTTAAACTAGATCTAAACCAGGACTA